CTCCACAATCTTGGTGTCTATTGTCAGAGCTGCTAAAACCAGCACAACTGGGCATGACTGTAAAGGGCAGTCATTGCAGACTCTGGTAGGTCACATGCCAGGATTATTGCCTGGTAATTTCTGGAAGGAGTCTAAAGTTTCCCAGTAAAGGGTGAGGAACCAGTCTTTTAGGAGTTTTCTTCCTGGGATGTCCCCTTTTGCAGTCAGTCTTTGGCTTACCCAAGTGTCTCCACTCTGCCTATAAAACACCAGATTTCAGTTGACACATTGCATCGTGGCCTCATCCTGAGTGCGGTGTGTCTAAAGCAAACACAGACTCAACAATGATGAAGAGTCCATGCACACAAGTGCAAGCCTGGCACCGCTAGGCTCAAAAATAAAGAGTGAATTCCAGGGCCAGAACGTTGTAGGGGATTCTTGGCACTCTTTGGGGATCTACTCAAACATTTTGCTGTATTCTTCATTCCACTGATGCATGATTCTCACAAATTTGCTGGTGAAGGTTCTTAGTCGTCCAGGTCATGGTAATCCAAAGGGGTTTGAATGAAGGCAACAAGAAAGAAGTCCAGATGCCTTCATTCGAACTAGGGATGCACCGATACGATACTGGCATTGGTATTGGCACCAATACCGATACAAATACCAGTATCGGTATTGGTTAAAGTTAACCGATACCAATGCAGTTGCTTGAAAATGGCTTCACTGTAACTTGTCATTTCTGTTCACCTAATAGTTTAGTTTTGTGATAATTTCCATTCATATATTTTACTTTTTATCTACCTCACAGTCTTTTCCTGTTGAAAGCGGAGAAGAAAATAAAATCTGTATTCCAAATCATTGCATTTTTTTGTGTGGTAGAAGTATCGGTATTGGTAATCGGTATCGGCGAGTACTCAGATCCAAGTATCGGCATCGTATCGGTTTGGAAAAAAGTGGTAACGTTGCATCCCTAATTCGAACCCCATTGTACCTCAATGTAGAGCTGCCCAACCAGGCTCTACAAACACATGAAATAAAAGGCCTATTGATGGTACTGATAGGAACAAATGATTGATTTAAATAGTATTTCAGACTTTTTAAAGTTTTCTATTGCTTTGCCTGGAACAGTGGTATTCAATCCTGGTCTTCAATGGCCAAAATCCTGCATATATTGTAGGGTTCTCTGCTTCAACACACCTGACTTTCACCAGAAAGGGATTAACAGGCTTCTGCAGAGCTTGATGACACACTCAACAGGTGATTCAACCATTGACTTGGGTGTGTTGGAGCAGAGAAATACCTCCAGGATCAGGATTGGACACCACTGGTTGAGGAAAAAGCATCAAATGATTTTTAAAACAGATTCTATTTGCTTTTAAGAATAAAGGTGCACGAATGAAATAGAACCGTAAAACTGCCATTTACACACCAGATCCAGATTCTCATTGCTTTAGAAATACTGACAAAGACCAACAAACTAATTTCCACAGCTTCATGCATATCAGCAGGATTTATCAGGTAGAAGCCTTTAGAGAGGCTCTTTGGTAGTTGGCTGCATTTGTTGGGACTATCGACATCAATAAAAATAACTAGTAGTTCTATTAGAAATGAGATTTAGGCCATTGATTTGTGTTTGGTTTGTAGCGATGATCTTACATAAAGGTTAACCCACCTTGCATCCATGGGGGCATCACCACTGTATGTATATATGTATGTGAATATGAACAACATGCTTGTTGACTCGTCAAGAAGAAGAGATCTTCGCAAAACAATTCTACGATAACTCCAGGAGCACCGTCCACAAACATTATCCAGTTCACACCCTCCAGTCCTGGTCGTCCCATTCATTCACTCATTCATTCATGCCTTCATTCATTAATCCAATCCAACCTTTGCTGGTAACATAAAGTCACAACTTGATTTGTGAGTTTAAATAAAGTGAAAAAAAAAAAAAACAATTTCAATGTACATTAAGATGCCAACTGATTTATCAATGAAACATAAGAAAGTATTGATTATTTTCCATCATGGGAGGAGCCAATACTTATCAAGTCCTTTGATTGAAGTCATTCTAATATATTGATCATGTTGAAAGTTTAGTTTGAAATATTACCTTCATAAAACCAGACTACGTGCCTCCTGATGTCCACTCGGCTTCAAAATGAATAAAATGTTTGATTTCCTTTATTGGCTTTTGTGTTTCACTTGTTTTATGATCTTACTGTTTTAAACAATCTTTATTTTTTTATTTGATTTCTTTTCTTTTTAAAGATCGTCTTTTGTTTGCTCGTCTATTAATCGTGTTTTAAATTCGATAATTTTTACTTTGTGATTATATCTGAAAGGTGCTGGATAAATAAACACTGTATTACTGATTTTTAAGAATTTTTGTAAATTATTTTTATATAATTGAATTTTCTATATATTGAAGCTAAACTAAAAAAGTATTTTTAAATTCTATTAAATCAATATCCTACATTATTTTTACCATCATGTAATATATGTTTGCATCATTGGGGACCAGCCAGTCAGCATCCAGAGGGTCTGACTAAAACTTAAACAATCAGGGTGTCTGAAGCAATATGATGCCATGCAGTTTATTATGATGTCATACAATGCTATACTATACAATGCAATACTTTATATTCCCAGTTATTAAAACATTAAACTGAGTTGCTACAGTGGTTAGCTCCATATTAGATCTCTAAATGGGAAAATAAAGTAAACTTAAAATTTCCAAAAAGGGCAATAATTAAAAAAAATGTAAAAAAAGAAAGTAAGAGAATTAAAGAGGAGGTTCTCAGAGAAACATAAAACACTTGTTCTTTTTGATGCAAAGAGCATCTCGGCTAGGAGGAGCTAACCATTAGCATTAGCAACTCCACAGCATGGCGGAACACATTCAGGCTTTAGTTATTTGTGAAGATCAAACATCGACTTTACTCAAGAAAGAACAGAGGCAGTGAAAGAGTTTCTCTTAGTCTCAGAAGCTAGAATGATTGCATATCATGAACATTAATGAGTAAGAGTCCAAATCCTTTGGTTTTCCCTTCCAAGTCCTCTGGCTACCTTCTACTTCTTGAAACAGGAGCGCCAGAGCTTTTTTTCCCACAGAAAACAAGTCAAATGGCTTTAATCCATACTAAAGGACACAGCTAATTTATTGATATAAAGAGTCCGTGCCCATCAGACCTGCTAGCATGATCTCTGTTATGGTAGCAAGACTCGACTAAATTAGCATTTGAAAAAAATTGAAGAAATTTTTGATCAAAACTGGAATTACTATAGGAAAGAAAATTTTTTATTTGAATAAATGAATAAGTGCAGTTTTAATGGAAGATGTCACACAATTCAAACAAGTTTTGGACAAACAATATTTAGAACAAAGGTTGTTGACCAACAACAATACACTCACATCGCCTCAAACGTTCAAGGTCTGTTTTGAAGAGTGTGTTTTGTCTCCAGTAAGTTTGTACATTTTTGCATTTACGTCGCATCCATTTTGTTCCATTTTCAGCCCCCATGTTCATTAAGAAGCTCATCAATCACTGCATTCATGAATCTACAACACACTCTGACTCCCGTAGCCTGGCAGCATCTCACCGGCCCGAGTCCTCAATGTTTGGCAAGAACAGCCTCTCGCCCCAAAAGGAGGGAGTTGGATGCAGCGGAGACACAATCACAAAGTCTCTCCTTGTTTTTTTTTTTTTCCTGACTAACTCTAAGCGCTGAAAGCAAAAGGAGCAGGTTTGAGAAGTCTTGCTGGAAACAGGAGAGTAAAGGTCTGTCACCTTCTCTGGAGCAAAACTCTAATAATATCATTTTTAAATTTACATGAAGCCTTTTCGTGGGGAATTTGCTGTTAATATATCTTGACTAATAATTGGCAATCTCAACATTTGTCAACAAAATTAGCATGACAGTATGCTGAGATCTTGATCTTCGTGTAAAGTTTAGAGCTTCCTGAACCATCGGCCAATACAAAAGCAGTAAGCTAACAGTGAACGTAAGTGCAGTGGTCCTACTTCTAAGAGCTCTGAAAGATTTAGAGCAGCATGCAAACCTGAGATTACAACTGAAGCATGCTGAAAAGTCAGGATGGAGAACAGACGGACTGTCCTGATTTCCAGTGCAGGATTGTTTTTATCTGTCCCGTTATGTCTCACAGGGTTAGGACCTCCTTTAGTTAGCTGAACCTGTCTCTGGTTTCTCATATGTGCAGTAAAAAGTTTTAAACATTCACAAAAAGACTCATTTAAGACCACTTTAAGTGGTTATTTCGAATATAAACTTGGATCTGACCCACTTTAAGAGTTCCTGCTCTTTTCCTAAATGAATCCAAAGAGCAGAAGAAAGAATTTTTGTACAATGCATGTCGTCTCATGCTTTGTGTGCAAGTCTGACTCACCAGTATTAGAACGTTTGCACTGATCATTAAATCGTGTGACATTTTTAATACATCAAGGCAATGCAGATGGCAGCATTCCTAATAAACACTCGTTTTTTAAGTATTTGACCTGTTGCCAAATCCAAGTCTGGTCACTATTATGACTTTTGACCTTATTCTGAGGCATGCTGCAAGTTTAAACTAAATTATAACTGAATCTAAGCATTAATCACTTATATTTAGCTGATAGGAAATGATTGTTTCCATGTTTTGGACGCCTGAACAGGAATGTTGGCTACAAGCACTGTCTGTACGGTCACAAGTCGTTTCAGTGCCATTAGGATGCTTGATTTTAGAGAAGGAAACACAGATTTATTTGACTTTTTTCTCCCATTTCCAAAGTGAATCAAGCTTTAACTGGTTGCAACATCAAAGCGAATAAATATCAGTAAATGTTTATATCAGATTGACTTTCCTCTTGAAAATGAAACATGTCTGTGTTTCTTTTTCTTGTAGTTAATCTGAAAAAGGAGAAACAAACATAAAAACTCAGTTTTATTACACATGGATGATTTACGTGTTTTCTTGTGACCTGATCGCTCTGTCTCTAACCGACTTTATTTTCTTCTTGCAGGGATTCAGTTTCGTCTCCCGACTTCGTGCAGCGTAGACCGCGCTCAGCCCCCTCCAGGTAGCTCTGTTAGACCTACGCTTGTCTTTATTTCTCTTTACTGACTTTTATGTTGCAGGCACAAAGGGGCTGGATTATTCAAAATAGAATTTTAAACCCCACCCCCAAATCAAATCATTTCCTAATTAAAATGACATCTTTTGGATAATCTGAGTGGTCATTGCTGTAAACCAGTGGTTCCCAAACCTTTCAGCTTCTGACCCACAAAATAACGACACTTGTGACCCCAAACATCACTGACTGTATGATGCAAGCAGTCCAACATAAAAGCTGGTTAAACGAGGCGTGAGGAAATTGCTAAACTGGTACAATTTTGCTGCTAGTAGTACATTGATCTGCCACTAGATGGCAGAAAACATGTAGGGTTCTTTGATAAAGGTACTAACTCTGGTGAGAAAGTTGTTTGTTCTCGGGTGTTTTCACTTTTGTTGCTTGTGTTCCATGTTTTTATCAGTCCCCTGGTGCCAGTTCTACTTTATATCCAGAATTAGATCATCTGAGTTGTCCAGTTTTCAAGTACCAACATCTTTAAAGTAACACAGAGCAGTTTCCTGCTCCTCTGCCCTACTGGTTGAAAGTGGTATTACAACTGTCATAAATAACTCTGCTGCAGCCTGCTGTAGCTAGCGCTAACAATGAGCTAACATTAACAAGAGCCAACTAATACTAAAATAAACCACAAAGTAAAAATATCCACGCTGTTGGACAAAAATATTACTTACAAGTCGAGCAGCAACAAAGCCAGGTCACCATCACTCTGTTATTTTATATTTTCAAAACAAGCGTAGATAGCACTGATGTTCACTCTGGTTTTAGCCCTTTGCTTTGCCTCCAAATACATTACTCTGCTACTTTTACTTCCAGGCTCCGCCATGATGCCAACAAAAAAGCAAACTTCTTGTGCTTTTATTGATATTGCAAACTGAAAAGGCTAACTGCTAGCATACCAGCTAACAGCCATAAAGCTGCTAGCTGTTAGCTCCCCCTATAGAGCACTTACCTGCTCCACAAAACTAAGTGTGAACGCAACAATCACTGAGATCAATGTTAACTCTCTGGCTTAAAGTTTAAAAAATGATTTAGTGTTACTATAAAGAGCAAGTCACCCCCAAATTAACATTTTTTTCTGATAAAATATATAAATGTGTGTCTAATCATGCTGCAGACACGTGTAGTCAATAGTTTTGCACTTTAGTCCATTTTAGTTCAAGTTTAAATTTTCTGCCTAAAACTATCAGCGTTGTGTCGTTGTCAGTTAAAAACACTGCTCTGCATTTGGATTTAAATCTGCCATCGCTATTGGCTAAGAGGTGCCCTAGAACGTTAGCTGGTACCATATGATGTCACAATGTCATTGTGAGCCTGTGTGTGTGTGTATTTGTTAGTGGCTCCACCCTCTCGGTCTGCTAGGCAACAGCATTTGTTGCATTTTTCAAACAGGAAGTGGGAGTGGAGAAATCCTCCGGCAGGGGGTGACTTGCTCTTTAAGGAAGGGTCAGATCTCCTAAAGATACTCATGGTTTGTTGGACTTGGTCTGTTCTATCTGCGAGCTGACACTTAGCAAGCCAACTTGTCAAACTTCCTTTCCTTAAGGAAAGGAAGTTTGACAAAGGAAGGCAGGTGGAGGGGGAGCAAAATACCCTAGGAACTACAAAAAACCTGCTGGGACCAACCATTAAACCGTTAAAGGCTAAGTTCACTGAAAATCTGTTTTTATTTCTCATGTTTGAAATACAATCAGTCACTCTGCATTTCACATGCATACAGAACTAAAAAAATCATCTTCAACCCCTATTTGATGCATTAACCGTCAAAACAAAATAGACCAGAGGAAAAAGTCTCTAATGTTGATTTAGCATCCAGGAGAGCAGAGCATGTCTGGGCTAGTAGAAGCTAACTGTTAGCATTAGCAACTCCACCAGCCAGCAGAACTCCTCCAGGCTTGTGTTATTTGTGGAGATAAAACATCAACGATGCAGAGCAGAATCAGTGGGAGAGTCGTGCTGCTGTTAACCAATCAGAGGCCAGATGTCTGAATGTCAGGACTCCAGATCTTGATTTACGGTAATCTAGACACCACTGCAAATGTGTTGGAATAACGAGTGTAGGCCAACTTGACAGCAACTGTGAACAAAATAAGAATCCAAAAGGCATGAACCAGCACTACGTAGTAATTTAGAAACAAAACAAACACATTTTCATTCCATGGCATTTTGCTTCATTGGGTCCTGACAGCTCCCTCAGCACGGGGATGTGTTTACTCAACAGATCAGAGCTGTAGAGCTCACCCAAACGGTCCAGTTCAAACACAGGCTGAAACAACTGACTAAACAAAGGACTAGAAATGTCCCCGCTGCTTTTGCATCATTCAAACCAAACTGCTGTAGCTGCCTGTGATTTATGGTGTGTAGGAGCTGCTGAAGTCGGTAAAACAGCTACTGTCACTGCATGGCAGCAGGGCTTGAAGGGACCTCTAGATGCTACTGACATCCAATTTAGTCCTTTTCTTTACCAGCTTCAAGTCAAAAGGAAAATAACAGATCCTACCTCACTGCTCCTGACATTACTCATGCATCTGGAAGTGATGCAACATCTGGAGAGGCGTTTTATATTCAGCTCAGTCACACAGCACACAGTGACTCGCCCCTTTTGATTCAGGTTAGATCCGGGAGATCTGATGCAGCTTCAAGAAAAACAGAAAACATCAAATCAAACATATGAAGACAAATCAGTTTATGAAGAGCTATGTTTTATAAGAAATCGTCATGGTTTGGCAAGTATTAAAATCATGTATTAAGATCATAATTTGTTCTTATTTTAGAGGGATAGAGGCACACTCTACAGGAGGACACCTAATGGTCATTTAATGTAACTGCACTGCATCTATTTCCATGTCCTCCCTCTCTAACCCATCCTGAGGACTAACTCAAAGCTTGTGATGTGGCAATATTCCAACCCAGGTAGTTGTCAGATTAAATGGTTTCACCTACACAACATTACCTCACTTAGATGATTGCATAATTATGTCCAGAGCAGAAACGTAGGCAACAAATGTCAGTCCCTTTAGAGAAGCTAATAAAGCGTCTCTGTTACTGACCTGCAGTGGGAGAACGGTCACGTTCATTACTTTGGTTAAAAATAAAAAATAAATAAAACAATGATAATAAGTGACTGTGCAGTTGTCCTCCGCTCCTAATTTAACAAATATTGAGACCCTTTGACCTTTTCTGTGGGGCCATAATCAGTAGAAATGTCTTGTTTTTAACTGTTTCATCCTCATTTGGAAGAAAAATCTATTTTATTTCTGTCACCAAGAAGAATTCTAGTCAAGTCACTTTATTTCTAAAGCACTTTTCCGCTCAGCATGGCAGCTGACTCCATTCATTATTTACATTTTGCAATTGATTAAGAAAAAGTTTTTTTATTTGTTTGTTTGTTTGTTTGTTTTTAGTCCCAAATATGTACCATCATCCGTTATATTTGAACTGCTGAAGGGAGCGTTGAAGTCTTTCTTTGGTGTATTTTAGTGTTGAGGTGAGAGTTCAAACAGAGGTAGACAAGGTCAAATAGACTCATTACTGATTCTAACAGGTCACTCTGAGTGCTTCATGCAGGCTGAACATGAAAATAGTCTCCTACACCTATCTCCTGCATTAGCTTCTGATAGAAAACAGACGGTGAAACTCTAGAATTAGAAAAGCCTGACAGATCTACATCACACTGTCACTAACATTCATAGACTCACCCATCCTGATTCACAACGGGGAAGGCTGTTGTTGGTTTAGCGTCCAGGAAACAGCAGAGAGAGTCTCGGCTAGTAGAAGCTAACCATTAGCCTGTACAAGGCATGTGTGAATAAAGCGACTGCTTTAGACCACCACACCACCAGGCGGGCCCCATGAGCACCAAGATGAGGTCAGGAAAAAATGTGAAATGACTTAAAATAATACAAATTAAATAATATTACATGTAAAAAATGATTCACCTGTAGTGTTATTTGTTTTTATTTCGTAGTGGTTGTATGGGGTTTATTTTAAGAACAAAAGATAGTAAATTTAACTTTTTCACTGTAAAGTCAGTGTTTGTCTGCTGAAGTTACTTTTAAATATTTGAATACCACACTTACATAACATTCTGCTTTTCAAAAGGCTCATTATTTAGAGTTTCTGTTGGTTTGCTACTCCTGTAAGGTTAAAATCAATCACCATAATAACACCTGTGTGCTGTAAGCTAATTACAAAAGATGCTAATGGTAGTGAGTAAGTTACACAAATGGTGTAGCCTAGGAATGATGAATCATCTGGTGTTGACTGGTTGGTATGGGGGTCCCAAAAAGGAAACCTGCTTAGGGCCCCACAAAGGCTTGGGCCGGCCCTGTGTTAGCAATAGCAGCTCCACCACACGGCAGAACTCATCCAGGCTTGTGTTATTTGAGACACACTGGCGGGCTGCCACCTGTGGACTTGTTTCCTACATGTTTCCTGCATGTTTTAGGTCATGAACCCAGCTGATTTGTTTAATTTGGTGATGAATCACTCCTGTAGACACTATTGAGGGCTGGGGAGACATTTCAGCTGTTAAATTAAGCTGTTAAAAGGACGAACCCACAGCGAGGAGATAGGTTTAATTTGCCGTTTAACCATAGATGATTAATAACAGACACTGGGGGCTAATGAGTAAATATGTGAGGGCAGGTGTCTGTTTAAAAGAATCTCCCATAGAGAGTTGTGGGATATATTGTTGTATTGATGTACGAATCAGCATTTCAAGGTTACCGTAACAAAAATAGGATTTAGATTTTCCTACTGTCGTCTCACTCAATTAGTAAAAAATACAGTTTCATAATTGTTAGAAGCACAATACATCGTTGTAGTTGGATTTATGGTTAAAAAAAATAGTTTTACTGGTTTGAAAATAAAAGTTCCTAATTCTCGTCAGACTGGAAAAGGCAGAATCTTGTGATTTTGTTGCTGGCAAAAAGCAGTTTGTAACATTATCAATTTAGAAACTAAGTCAAGCAGGTTCAGTGAGTAATAATAGAAAGTGTGAAGTGAGGCTCTGTTCTCTGAGTCATTCTGCTCTTTATACTCTGGTGGCCGCCTGCTGAGTCTTCCAGAACGCTGACGCTCCGGTTTGGGAGGAAGTCGAGTCTCCAGTCGGTTTGAAAGTGTGTTCTGTCTTCTTTTATTGTACCATAATTACCCGGAATCTAAAGCTGTGTGTGTGTGTGTGTGTGTGTGTGTGTGTGTGTGTGTGTGTGTGTGTGTGTGTGTGTGTGTGTGTGTGTGTGTGTGTGTGTGTGTGTGTGTGCGTGTGTGTGTGTGTATGAGCGTAATAGCTGCCTTTAGAGTAGGTAAAGACTGTATTCGATCTCGTAATCATCCTGCTGATTATTAGATGTGATGTAAATTACCGGATGTATGAATGAATGAAAAACTTTCCACATGTGCGACTAGAGGACACGATCAGGAACACCACAGCAGGCAAGTCCAAGTGTGACTCGGGGGCCACCAACGGCCCCCGGTGCGACTCTAAAATAATGCATTTTTTATCTCCAGGAAGCTGTTGAACAGATTTTCCATCCCTAGGTGAAACTTAGCCTGCTGCCATATTAGATAAGTTTGATAGGTGCAGAAAAGCCTTTTGAAGAAGAAGAAGATATAATTTCTATAGCGCCTCTCAAGATAAAAAATCATGAGGTGCTTCACAAAAACAAAAAATGTAAAAATATAAAAATGCATTTAGAAAATGTTTAAAAATATATTTAAAATGAGCAAAAATAGGCAATTGTGATAAAAAAACAGTAACCAGTCCAGTCATTCCCCTAATCTGGCCGTCATTAGTTTAGCGTAACATAACCAATGAAAGTGAATAGTAACAGCTAGCATTTAGTTGAAAACATGTTTTTAGTCGAGAGGAGCCAGTTGAGGTGGCTCGGGCATCTGGTCAGGATGCCTCCTGGATGCCTCCCTGGTGAGGTTTTCCGGGCACGTCCAACTGGGAGGAGACCTAAAGGTAGACCCAGGACACGGTGGAGGGACTATGTCTCTCACCTGGCCATGGAACGCCTTGGGATTCCCCCGGAGGAGCTGGCCCAAGTGGCTGGGGAGAGGGAAGTCTGGGCATCTCGACTTAGGCTACTGCCCCCGCGGCCCAACTCCGGATAAGCGGATGAAAATGGATGGATGGATGGACGGATGGACGGACGGACGGACGGACGGATGGATGGACGGATGGATGGATGGATGGATGGATGGATGGATGGATGGATGGATGGATGGATGGATGGATGGATGGATGGATGGATGGACATGTTTTTAGTATTAAAGTAAAACTAAACAGTTTCCAGCTTCTCCCTCTTTATCAGTTGAAAGTGGACTCATACAACCCTGCTGCAGCTAGTGCTAACAACAAGCTAACACTAACATGAGCCAAGTCCTACTGACTAAGTCGCGAAGTAAAAGAATCCACACTGACAACAAATATTACTTAGAAGTTCAGTAGCGACAAAGCCAGGTCCCCATGGGCACCGGTAATCAGAGCCTAGTCTCTGGGGTAGTACCAGGGAACTGGAAACAGCTGTGGTTCAGCCTTTACTTTATCTCCAGACTTCCTTTTATTTTCTAAAGTTTATGTTTATGTATTTAGCAGATGCTTTTGTCCAAAGCGACTCACAAGTGATAATCGGCATGTTGCCCTTGAGGCTAACAACAACAATAACAACAACAACTTGACATCAATCATGGAGAGGAGGGAACAAGGAGTGGACAGAGGGGGGACGGGTGCAGGGAGGGTGCTAGTTAAGAAGATGCTCTCTGAAGAGCAGGGTCTTCAGGAGTTTCTTGAAAATTGAAAAGGAAGCTCCTGTTCTGGTAGTGCTTGGTAGGTCATTCCACATTTGTGGAACGATGCATGAGAAGAGTCTGGATTGTCCTGAGCGTGGTGTCGGCACTGCTACCAGACGATCCTGTGATGACCGGAGCGGCCGGGCCGAGACGTAAGCCTTTGCAAGAGGATTCAGGTAGATGGGAGCCGTACCATCTCGAACTTTGTATGCTAGTGTTAGCAATTTGAATTTGATGCGTGCTGCTAGTGGTAGCCAGTGGAGCTCAATGAACAGAGGGGTGACGTGTGCTCTTTTTGGCTGATTGAAGACCAGACGCGCCGCTGCGTTCTGGACCATTTAAAGTACTGGAGAAGGTCGTTGACAGTACTTGGTGGGAAATGACATTGCCGGTGTAAAGCCGGTCCGCAGTACAGAATCGGCAATGCTTCGGGTTTTCAGTGACATTCTGTTGGCAACAGATTCCAGAGACTTTGTTAGTTTGGTATTGTTGGACCTATCGGTGGCATTCGCTACTGTGGATCATCCTCTCCTGATTTCTAGGCCGGAACATTTAGTGGGTGTTTGGAGATTGGTTAGTGTCGTACCTGGCTGACAGAACCTTCAGTGTCTCACTGGGGGATTTTACTTCCTCTAATGCTTCATTCTCTTGTGGGGAATAAGTGTGTTGTTGGTAAAGTTTCTACCAACATACTCACTGAACCCCACTTTTAAAGGTGTGCAACATTTTAATGTTTATAACAGGTCATTCTGAGAAAATCCAGATACAGATCTACGTCACACTGCCACAGCATCCATGGACTCACCCATCTTGGCTCACGACGGGGAAGGCTGTTGTTGGTTTGGCATCCAGGAAACAGCAGAGAACGTCTCAGCTAGTACAGGCTAACAGTTAGCATTAGCAACTCCACCACACAGCAGAACTCCTCCAGGCTTGGGTTATTTGTGGAGATAAAACATCAACGTTGCAGAGCGAACAGAGTCACCAGAGCTTTTTTCCCCAGAGTACAACATACGAGGCATTCATTCTTACTAAAGACCACTGCAGATTTATTAAAAATATGAGTAAAGTTCACCTTTAGGTGATATTCTGTTGTCATTTAACTGCAGTAAGGAACTTACCTGCTCAACGTGAGCAGATTCTCTAGAAACAGGAAGAAGTTATCTAACTGAAGAAAAACACCTTAAATGGCTTGGCTCAAAGCCGGTCGGATCAGTAAAAATATCAACTCTGTCATTCTGGTAACGCCACATCACCCATTTATAATGTTGGACGTTGCAGTGTCCAAAATCTTCCACCACCAAACTCTTGCTGCTGCTGTTTCACGCAGCCTGATTGGCAGCCATTTACCATAAATGCATCAATGCGGCTGTAGTTAATGTGTAAAATCTATTTGAAATAACTAAAGTTTGACCTTTTTTTTTTTAGTAAGAGTTCATTTGTCAGTGATTTCAGTAAGAAGACTACTTCCTGTTTCTAGAGACCAGAAAATCCCGTGCAGGTGAACATGAGACCCGATACAAGACGGTTGTTGTCATCAACAGTGTGCAAATCTGACTTTGCGTCCCACTTAGTGGAACCAGAGATGTCGAGCTTCAGATTTTTAACGAACAGTTAAAACTTAACAGTGGACCCATTAAGCCATTTCACTACATACATCTGAGAATCACAGCAGCAAATCAGAAGGTAAATGAATGATGGTTCGATTCCACCGATGATTTAATTTGAGATTCCTGGGACGCTGTGGGGGGCTGAACCATCATTACTGCAGTGAACTTACCTGAGCTTTGGGAACATTTCATCATCAATCGAGAGCTGCTGCTCTTCACCTTGCCAGCATCCCCCTGCTCTGATGCCCAGTCTCCCATCATGCTCCTCTGCTCTATCACACTGATGCTGGTGAACTGCAACATTAGCCTTGGTCAGCTTCTGCCACATTATTCATCATCATTATTATTTTTTATCCTCCTTTTGCTCCGTCCTCTTCCTCTCATCCTGCTTGTGCTATCCAGCGGTATCATATCCTCCGAGTTACAAGAAGACCCCACCTCCTGTGCCCCCGCGCACCACCACCAAGCCTCTTATCTCTGTGACAGCCCAGAGCAGCACAGAGTCCACCCAGGACGCCTACCACGAAGGCAGGCATCCACGGGGGGGCCTGTGGACCACAGATAGCCTCGGCCGCCCCATCTACAGCTCCATGGACAGTCTGGACAGCACCAAGGCGGTCACCATGGCAATGGAGTCAACTGCAGGCAAGAGGCACGTGTCCTTAGGCAGCCACACCTCGGTTCAAACATGTGACAAGGCGGTTCTGGTGTCCAAAGCTGAGGAGTACCTCAAAACCCCACGATCCTCTATCGGCATACAGGTAACGAGAATCATCACCTTGGTTGGTGAGAGGACAGAAAACAAGGACTCACTTTTACTGTTCCTGTTGGTGTGTTGCAGGTGGAAACTGTGACAGACTCCGAAGCAGAAACTAAAGGCCTTCCTCAGTTTCATTCCATTGGAATCCAAGTGGAGGATAAGAAACGCAGGTGTGTGGAGTAGGTGAGCGCGCCACAAAAGGTGCCCCTTTCATCCTAACGTTCCCTTTCTGTCCTCGTCAGGCACGGGAGGTTCAAGCGCTCGAACAGTGTGACCACTGCTGTGCAAGCAGACCTAGAGCTGGAGGGCTTTCCCTCTATGGAGGACAAGAGTCTGCAGTTCGGTGGCGCCTTCGGACGCCACTCTGAGCCCAGCACGCCAACGCAGTATGGAGCCATCCGGACGGTACGCACGCAAGGCCTGTTCAGCTACCGGGAGGACTACCGGCCTTCCGGTGGGCCTCCCAGCCCGCAACCCGAACCCTGGTTGATTGAACCAAGCCTAGAGAGCACCGACTCGGGCCGGGTGTCCCCCCTTCGGCGGGACGGCGGCTGGTTCATGCAGCTTCTTCACAACGAAACAAAACGGCTGGAGGGATGGTGCAAAGAGATGGAGAGAGAGGCAGAGGAGCATGACCTGTCCGAGGAGAGTGAGTTCCCCTAGGACAACCTGGCTTTGTAACCTGTGCAGACGTAGTCAGCTGTGATGATGAGTTGTAATGAGCCAGTTGTGAGCCGACTGGATTGTTCTGAATGACAGAAAAACATGGCTCAACACGGCGGCTGTTGCCAAGCTGTCGGTAATAAATTCAGTGTGTGTGTGTGTGTGTGTGTGTGTGTGTGTGTGTGTTGTAGTTCTAGGGAAAATCCGGAGTGCGGTTGGAAGTGCCCAGCTGCTAATGTCCCAGAAGTTTCAGCAGTTTTACTGGCTGTGCCAACAGAATCTGGTGAGTCATAGACACCTCTGAACAAAACACGTGTTTGACGTTAGATGTTGTACCTAAAAACCCACGGATCGTTGCGGCGAACGTGCTTGTTCTCCGAGCTTTGCGGTTTGACGCTGCGCTTCCAAAAATAGACCCCAGAGACGGATGGTGGCGCGGTGGCTCTGCAGGTATCGACCCTCCGTTGACGAGAGGGGAATTCCAATAGGAAGCAGCACCGGTGTTGAGGCAATCCATTAATGCACCGAGGCAGCAGGTTGAATAATGGACCACCACGCCATCTCACTGTTTGGCCACCGTGTCACGTCTGCAGGAATCTCAGCCCTTCTTCACAGTCAGCACATTTTGGAATGTTTTTGGGTGTGTGTGTGTGTGTGTGTGATGAGCGGCGTACTGCTGAAGATAAAGTGAGGAGAGGGACTTAATCCCACCCCTCCGAACTCCAGAATGTGGTCGTCACTGGGTTTTGTTTAGCTTTGATACACTCTCTCTCCCTAAAGATAATAGGATGATGAATTAAGCTGAACATTGGTGGTGACAAGTCTGAGATTGCTCTGAGCGTTCACACACATCCGAAGGAAAGGAGTCTGCTTCACCTAGTGGATGCAACAGGAACTGCATGCCGTACCTGTAAAAACTCCCAAATGTTCTGAAATTTGACTTCATGGATACGATCTTTGCTGTTTGCTGAGTTTATACTTTTAAAGCCACCCTGAATCAGGTCCCCAGACAGCTCCACAGCTACTCCTGGGAGAGAGGACCAAGGGTCTGGAACATAGATGAGCTCCATTTCCTTACAGTCGCTTTTTTCTGCACATTTTTCTTTTAAATTAAGAAACTCTTCAGATGAGGAGTGAAAAATCTTCATGGACTCAAAGAAGTCCACTTTCCTTTTTCTGGAACCGCCCGTGTGTAAACCAAAACTGATGCTGTACTGCCACCCTGTGGTCAAATACAGAAGTGTCCATGAGCAGCAAACTTTTCCCTGTCCATCCTGCCAATCAAACACCTTTCACCTGCTTTTTACTCAACTTGTACCTTGTTAACTGTGTGCAGAGGGAGTAGAGCAGGTAGACTTTGTTCTCTTTTAGTTTAAACTTCCTAAATGACCCTTTCAGGACCCCGGTGCCATGCCGAGACCCACTTCTCAGGACCTGGCTGGATTTTGGGACCTTCTGCAGCTTACCATCGATGACGTCACTGCCAAGTTTGATGAGCTGCAGCAGATCAGGAGCAACCACTGGCAGCTGGTGGAGAGCCCAGAGAAGAAGGTATAATTAGTCTCCACACAATCCTAATAATTAGCTCTAATAGGCTCCAGATGATCTCCTAAATCTAACAACACAAGTGTTCCTTTTCAGGCTTCGGGCCAGCAGGAGATTATGGGATGCAAACGAGAAGAAAGCATCTCTTTGCTGGTGTGCTTGTACTGAATCCATGCATCAGGACAAAGATTTAGTACTTTTGCACAACATTTCTAAAAAATAGTTTCTTTTCCACAAAGTAAAATATGTGTAATAAATAAATCTTAGTGCTGCACGTGTAGAACACGTTTGTGTTTGCAGATGAAGGAGCTGCGGTTGTAAGAAGCACATTTGGATGGTAATTGTGTTTTTTCTAGGTTTACAATACTCTTCAAGGCTCTTACGGATAATTATCTTCATGCTACACTTTTAGCTGGGAGCACCCATTTACCTCCAGCCGTTAAGCAGCACATCACGCACTCTGTGGAGCTGAACTCTTGCAGAGATACTGATGTGGGGTTTACACCAACTTCCGGGCAAAAGTCATGCAAAGAAAAATCTAATCCTGAAATAATTCATGTGAAAATGAGCCTTTAGGATATAAAACATCCATGGAAATTCACTTTTTATCACACAGACAGAAATTCCACTTTACATGCAGCTGATGCTGTTCTGTTTCCAGATGACATCTATCTGAACGGACACCATCCAACGTGTTTTAGCTGTTTCTCTGCTCCAACACACCTGGTATTAATCAGCATGTGGTTAACAGGCTTCTGGAGAGCTCGATGAGCTGCTGAACAGGGGATTCAACCACTGAACTAGGTGTGTTGGAGCAGGGAAACAACTAAAACATGCTGGATGGTGGCCCTTGAGGATCAGGGTTGCCTACCCCTGCTGTAAAGGATCACAGTGTAGGGAGACAACTAATAATGAAGATGGGTCACAAGCTGATGAACTCATTTCCAGCGAAGGCAAAAGCGTTGCGAAACGGCGGTGGAACGTGCTTCGTGGCATTTAGCCGCCGTTACAGTGAACAGTGCCTTTCCACCGACTGCGAGGCGCCATGTTTTGGATGTGTCCCGTGTGTTGATTATGCTTTTATTGTTTTTTACGCTCTACGCTTCAAAACAGGTCAAACTCTGCAGTTTAGATCGGGCCAGACAGGAAGTCAAACACAAAAGCAGTGCAAGACATCCAAAAACCTTCAAAATAAAAGTCAAGATTTTCAGTTTCTTAACCAGTAAAATAAAGGTAGGTGAAACGTTCCTGTGAAAACTCCGTAGCCGAGGTAAACGGAACAGAAAATTACTCGGATCTTTTTGGAGACATGCAGCCGTCTTTCTCCTGTTCTCATGTGAACTTCGGAAGTCACGCGTGGAGTTGCGTCTCTCCCGTGATTGATGTCTTTTAGCACTCCCCCAGCTCCTAAGAAACAATATTATTGGATGAAACTTGTTCTTTCCTCCATGTCAGGAACGAGTTGGTGCTGTGTGATGACATGGCCGATAAGAAAGGCCGCCATGATTTAATGCTGTGATTTAGACCTTTTGATGTATGTGTTTTTTATCCTAAGGAGCAGAAATGGCCGCCTTCTTTGTCAAAGAGACCAGCCAGGGGGCGTGGCGGCATAACGCGGGAGCGCTCGCTGGACCTGCAGGATCGCCAGCGCCAGGAAGCCCGCAGACGCCTCATGGCTGCCAAGCGAGCGGCTTCTTTCAGACAGAACTCCGCCACAGAGAGGGCAGACAGCATCGAGATCTACATCCCCGAAGCTCAGACTCGACTTTGAGGTTTACATCATCACTCTTAGCTTCTCCCGACCACCATCATCCGAGAGCGGCTCCATCAACAAACGTCCCTGCTGGTCCACTCCTTTGTGTTCTCCGGGCTGCCCCTGTTGAAGCTACACTTGGCAGCGATGCCACCAATGAGTTTTTCAACCAAGAATAATGAAACTCTTCAACTGTGAAGTCATGCGGGTTTTAAATTGGACCACCAAAAGTCCAACTCGCCCACATTTGCTTTGTGTAGCTTTAACACCAAAAGGAGCTGAGAATTAGCTAACTTACTCCCAATATTTTGGTTTCATTTGATCAGCTGTGAGATTTAAGAGCCATTCGTTTGCGTTCAGTCATCTGAACTGTTGCTATCATGCAACTGTGCACGAGGAGAAGAACGTTTCACCTGCTGGCAAGCGCGGTTTGTGGCTGCAGCATCCTGTCTGCAGATCCTGTCTCACTAAAAGGATTAAATACAGTTTGAATGCTTTTATTTATTTATTTATTTGAGTGATGCACTAAAATCTTTAGGCTCCTCCATTTTTAACCAGGCATGCTCCGGCCATTAACCGCTGCTGCTGCCGGCTGAGTCACTTTCACATGAAGTCATTCTTCATTCCTGCAAAAACCATTCAGTCGTAGGAATTTTAGACCTTTTAACATATGTAAAATATTAGCTGCTGGATGCATTTCCACTGCAGAACAAATATGAATTATTAACAGAAGAAGGATTTGTACAGCCCAGGAAAGGTGGCTGTGTCAAACAATGCATTTTTGCACCTTATAATATTCATGTTTGTATTTCCAAGGGAAATGTAGTTAATGAAGCTCATGTGATATTGTTGCAGTTGAATTGCAAGATCAGATATGGAGATTTACTACAGAATTTCATATTAATTTCTATGGAAATCGCACCTTGTTTCTGTTTTTTCCCTGATGGCATTAATGTCAAATCCTAAGTAAAACTTTGTAATTCTAACCCTTTTATTCCATTTATAGTGTTTATCGTACGACCAATATTAAGCTCTATAGTAAACATTTAGTATTTCTACTTAAAACGGAGCGCGTCTGTTCTGGTTGTTAAACTTTCTTAGCTGAGATTTTACATCACTCTGCATCTGATCTGTTGTTTTTCAATCTGCTCGTGTAGGAAAGACAGGTGCAAACGACACTTTAACAACCTTCAGTTACTATAGTAAATGGTGCTGCTTTATACTCAAACTGTTGTCCGTTACACACACACACACACACACACACACACACACACACACACACACACACACACACACACACACACACACACACACACACACACACAAGGACTTTTTAAACAGATTTACAAACATGGTGCCCGCCGTCTCCCAGATGATTTGTGGCTTCAGAGGGGATCATCATTGCAACGCCCCTAGTGATTTAAATTAGGACGATGTGTGTTGGTCAGTAGGAGGGATTTAGACATGGCCGCCCTAAGGGGGGAACACTGGAAGTACATTGCAGTACCTGTTCTTGTTTTATAATCCTTAACACTTCCCATCCATCTTTCAGCTTCCTCATCTGCCAAACCGACCCCAGGTAATTACCGCCAATCTGGATTAATGCTTGTGTTTTAATCTGATGAGTTGAGGATGGGATTTTATCCTGCTGGCAGACAGAAAAATGGACCAATATGATGAGAAAAGCTAAATCAGAGACCCTTACCTTACCAGATGGCCTTAAAACTGTTGAATGTAGAGATTCCAATTATGATGCAAAAATAAAATTAAAACAACTAAAATCCAAGTTCAAATTTAATGCAGGTCAATACTTAAAGTTGGTGGCCAATAAATATCTATAATGAATACAAGTAAGTGAAGGTTTCTGTATTTCTGGAATTACAACTGTTGTAAATAACCGTGCTGCAGCCTGCTGTAGCTAGCGCTAACAACGAGCTAACGCTAACATGAGCCAAATAATACTGAAATAAACCGCGAAGTAAAAAGATCCACACTGATGGACAAAAATAGTATTACAAGTCCAGGAGCAACAAAACCAGGTCACCATCAGTCCATGCTTTGTAGACTGCTTTAGCTCCCTCAAACTAGCACAGGCCGCGCCGGTGCTTACTCTGGTTTTAGCTCTTTGCTTCACCTCCAGAGACATTAATAATAATAATACATTTTATTTAATAGCACCTTTCAGGACACCCAAGGACACTACAACAATGGGGAAAAATAATAAAACAAGATTAACAGTACAGAAATATGTAAAAACACTAGGATGCTAAAATTTTAAAACAATGTAGCAAAACTATGTGGTAAAAGCCTGTATGAAGAGACATTACTCTCTTACTTTACTTCCAGGCTCCGCCATGATGCCAACAGAAAAAGCAACCTTTTTCTTTTTCTTCTTCTTGTGCTTTTTATTTACTATAGGGAGCCTAAGTCTCCTCCCTTTCCGGTCGGCTCATGGCTCCCCGGAAGAACAAAAAAATGAATGCAAGTCAACGGGGCTAAAAGAGCTGTTTTCTAATGGGCTTTGCCTTACACCCTGGATCGCACATATGTTGTACTGCAATTTAAATGAAAACTAATGATTCGACCATGCCTGTTACGTATTTTAAGATTTAACAGCTTGTAAAAGTTCGTAATTAGCATGATTACACACCAGAAATCAGCACGTCGCATATGTGACGTCACCACAGAATCTCCTCTCTCCTAGCGTAGCTGCTACTTACCACATGACCAGATTTATGATGGTTCTTTCCTCCTGTGGGAAGCTTGCTGAGCTCACAGCCATTTTCCCTCAGTTTTCTCCGTGTCTGGTTCAATGACGTCACTTTTGTGAAGCACATTTGTAGTCCTGGACTTATTTTCACAAAACCTAAAATATCGTTCCCCCCGTTCAAAAATAAGCGCATTCTTGGTTTCAAAATGTATCTTTAAAATTTGTGGACATCATATGTGAAATCCATGGAACATAACAAGCGGAATTAGAAAATAGTGTTTTTAGCACCGTTGACTTGCATTAATTTTTTCGTTCTTCCGGAGACCCGTGGTCTGGAAGTAGATGCTCATGACTGTGGGTGTTTCTCAATGCCAAGGAACCTCACCTTGATGTCTTGGCCCCGCCGCGGTTGCCTAGGAGATACATCATCGGGAGCCGCCAAGAATTGTTCCAATGTTCATGTTTTACCGAGTCATGTGTTCCCAATTTGTTAGCTGCTTAGCTAGCTGAGCAAGGATACACGGGTGACGTCTTTTAGCCTAGCCTTGGTCAACCGTTTCCCAGAATACACAGCGGTATTTTCAAAAGGATGGCGAATCAGAAGCCAGCAGCTACTTCAGGGGCAAATTTCAAGTTTAAATGTAAGTCAGCTAATTTTAAATGGTTTTTTTTTTTAGATTCAAAGAAGTTATCTATGGTTGATTAGTTGCTTATTAGTTACAGTTTCAGTGGCTAGCGGGTAGTAACTCGCTTATATTTTTAATTTAACAAATATATACAAAATTTAAAAAGTAAAAGGCTCGTTATATATATATATATATATTGAAACTAATATATATAAAATATAATGTTATCTCGCGTGGAAGCCGCGGTCATGTGATGCAAGTCTGTTCCATTTAACCGTTTTCTCTGACCAAGGAAGGGCAGCATCCTCGTAAGCAAGGCGCCTGGCCTCGCAAGACATTGCCTCGCAAGACCAGGCGCCTTGACATCGAGAAACACCCTTACGCCCCCTATTGGCTAACTGAAAATGCTAACTGCTAGGAGTTACAGCTAACAGCGAGCGCCCCCTTACCTGCTCCACAAAACTACATAGTGTGGTTTTTTGCCAGCAGAGGGCAGCAGAGTGGTGTCAATTGTGATACTGGTCAAGTTTCTAACTCAACAATCACTGAGATCAATGTTAAAGCTCTAGCTTAAATTTGAAAAAACTATCTTGGTGTTCAGGTATTAAATAAAATGGGGATTTAAATATGGAATTTGCAGATGCTCACACCTTTATTATTCCCTTATATGAAGTTTTAATTTAAAGATTCCGTTAAAATTAAAGCTCAGGGTCACTTTAAGACCACCTTCAATAAATACATGTATACTCTAAAATTTATTTTTGTGAACAGCTAAAATAAAAGAAGACAGATGTATAGATATATATATATATATTTATTTATTTTGCACCCTTTTATGTGTTTTCTTCTAATTCCTATCAAATCATTTATCTAATTATATACATCTAAAGGTCGTCTGCCCACTACAAACTAAAGGACTATAAAGATATTACTAGATAAGAGGGCTCATTGTTAAAATAGATGATTATTTTATTAATCAAACTGTAATATATGGAGAATTGTATTGATTCCATTTATTTCTTGTCTGTATACAGGAAATTTGTGTTACAGATGATGAAGGCTTCAGGTTTGCAGGATAATGATGACACACACACCTCTCTGTCCTCAGGTGAAGGAGGTGGAGAAATCCTCCAGACTAGCATGTTTGATGCCGTTTTTCCACCCGAGCTGGGTGTGTGTGTTTGTTGGCGTCTCGGGGATGGTGTGGGGGTGTTGTGCTACAGCCGTCAGTGTCAGATACAGCAGACTCTTGTCCTGCCACTTCTTTTTTGGTGCTTTTCTAACAGGAAGTGTGGATGGCGTGAGAGTCTGATAGGTGGATGAACTGAGAAACTGTTTTTTACTTGTTATTTTGAAATTCGATCTGCCACTCTCTCATGCAAGCTGAACGTAAAAATGTTCCCCTCCTCCTGCATTAGCCGCCGATAGAAAATAGACAGAAACTTGTCAATTAAACGTCACACTGTCACTTAACATTCATGGACTCGGCCATCTTGACTCACGACGGAGAGGGCTGTTGTTGATTTAGCAACCAGGAAACTAAAAAGAACGTCTCGGCTAGTAGGGGCTAACCGTTAGCATTAGCAACCCCACCACACAGCAGAACTCCTCCAAGCTTGTGTTATTTGTGGAGATAAAACCTCAACGTTGCAGAGCAGAGTCAGTGGTACAGAGTCGTGTTAACCAATCAGAGGAGAGATGTCCGAATATCAGGAAATGAGATAAAAACCTGTCTTCTTCAGCTCACATCTCCTCTGGCTCATTTCTACCTCCTGAAACAGGAGCGCCTGAGCTTTTTTCCCCACAGAGATTGGCTCACAAGGCATTCATTAGACCACTGCAGATGTGTTCAATCCGAGTGAACTTGGTCCTTACAGTGTCATCTCATCTCTGTGGTGGTGTTTCTGAAGTATAAAATAAAACTTGATGAATCTTTTGACACAATTTTCAGTTTGAAGCTTCTGAAGGAGCTTAGTTAACACGGTGGTTTCCCAAAGCGAGAGGCTTTTACATAAACATCCTGAGTATTGTGCTTTGTTCAGCCGTCTTTTAACATCCTTGTGTGTCACTCTGATATGAAACATCCTCATTTATTCTACTGTTGCCTCTGCTGAGCGGGGCTGGGGGGACAAAAAGAAGCTTCTAGTGAACGACGGGCTACTTTAACAATCTAACTGCTCTTCCACCTGACTGGATTCACAGTCAGATCAAGTCTACTTCCCACAGACAGCAAACTGTGATCCTCTCATGTCTATTGTTCCTGATGATGATGATGATCTGGCTGAGTTGAGCTTTTTGTAGCTTTAAGTTGAACAACTTTGGTCAGACACCAATCAGAGACGCTAAATGATTTTTCTGCTTTAACAGATTTAAACAAGTTCAGGAGGATCTTGTGGCTCGAATGGAGAAAAAAGTGTCGCTTTGGGCTTTTTTCTCATCACGGCAGAAATGTGACACAAAAGGTTGCAGTGACAAACGTGCTACGATGACCTTGTACAGTAATAAAAGTAGACACACAGTCAGCATTGTGTTTTTGTGGTTTTCATACAGGGAAGTTCTAGTGTTGCATCGATGAATCTGTATTTCCTACGCATCTCTCATTTCCCATCATCCCTACGAGGGGCTTCGGAGTTTGGCAACTATGTACATGACAAATCCTCAGGTGCCTTACAGTCTGATCCTCTTAGTGAATGCTTTAGTTTGAGGTATGCGAAAGGACTGCAACACTTTTTAGAGTTTGTACCTTCACAAAGGGCTGGAAACAAAACGCTGGGTCGGACTGCAGAGTGTATATTTAATCGAGTCAAATATGTCCTACTGTAATAAGCTTCAGCACAATACAGTTTAGAGGTTGTCAAAGGAATTTTTTTTTTCTTCTTTTACAACAAATTTGGTTCTGGATAAAGCTCTGTTCCATCAAAGGTCATTTTCTTCCCTCTAAAAGCTGTCATGCTGTAATTTTGACAAAACTTGACTCGCCAAAAAGTGCAGTAGTGTTATGTTACAGTGGGAGGCAGGCTGACTGACAGCTAGTTATCTCAGTGTTTGGTGTTTCCGCTAACGTAGTCCAGCTTGGCAGGAAAACTTAGCTGCACTCCTGTACTATGCATCAGTACTCCTGCAGGCTCTGTGGTGCATATCGTCTTACACTCCATAGAGCTCCTGTTGCGTGACACACAAGTGCAGACTTTCACCACTGTCCAAATCCAAGTTAATTTGGTCACCTTACTGATTTACAACCAACTAGTTCCCGAGCGCAGCCTCCGCTGCAGCTCAGCGCTCCCCATGGGGATGAGTCAAATGCGGAGATGAGTTTCACCAGAGTGACGATGACTTTAAATGACACAAAGAGCATGAATGCTTCTCCCACCCTCTACTGGCTTCTTTTCTAGACTGAAATCCTCGTGGCTCCACAATGACCTGGAGTTAAACCTCACAAATGTACAGGTGCTGAATCAACTGTTTTCTCTTTCACTCAGTTTTTCTTTTTCTTGTTGATTCCGACAATCAGTCCACACCAAAAGCATCAAATGCACACAAACAGTTCAACAGCTTTGTCATAATGTGTTCTCGAGTACGCTGCTTGAGTTTCCCCCTCCTGATTTCATGTTTATTGTGATTTTTCTCGTTTACTGTACAGTCGCACTGTAACAACGTCCGTTTGTTCGCTTTATCATATCATAAATCATATCGACAAACCTGCAGAACAAAACACTTACTGTTGCGCTTTCATGACCTTTGTCTCTGGGCTATGTGAGAGTATGCTGCTCTTCAAGCAATAAGACTAACAATCATCCACATGACTGTGTTTTCATGCTTTTCAGCTTTTTGAGATCCAAGAACTGTTTGAACGACTTCTTCACTTGTTAAAATTAGTTTCATGACAGATGGGGGGGGGGGGGGGTGCACACCCTTTATTTGCGTAATTAGAAATTAGAAGATTGTTAAAGTCCAGTTTAGCTTAGCTTAGCTACCTTAGCATGAGTTCTGCAAAGTGTAAAGAAAAAGGGTAGTATCACAGCTGCTATTATTTCATGTAACTTATGATTTAATTGTTTATATTGTGGATTTATTTCTTTTTAGCGAAACCCCATCACCTTCCCTTTAAAGTGGATCTTTTTCTATTTAATCTCATGAAAACTCAAAGGGGAAAAGCTACTTAACAGTTAGCTACTTAGTAAAACAGACCTGCACAAAACCAAAATGTGTAACTTTCACCTTCTATTTGGAATTAAATAATAAACAAGTATTAAATATACTTTAATATCTTGTTATGATTTCACAACGCTAGCCTTTTCCCCTTCTACAAGTGTAGATGCTAAACTGCTACGCTAAGCTAAGCTAAGCTAGCTCTTAACCATCCACATCTGATATGTTATGAATGACATTGTTTTGTTATTTTAATTCAGCATTAACATTTTCTTGCTATCTTTTGTTCTTGCCTACCTTCTTGTCCCCCATAGTCGTGCCCATCTTTGTAGGGGGCCCTGAGGAAATGTGACACTTTAGCGCCGGCTTTCATTGATAGTCATTTTGGAATTTTTCACGATTCTGCCTGAAATTGCACATGGTCTGCATTTGTTTTGTTGTGTACATTTTTGCAAAACTGTTGAGAAGATGTTATTTTTCAGTGTTTTATGAAGAGAGAGATAATTGAAAATGTATCATGGCTAAAGGTGGAAAAACATATTAGGCAATGGGTTATGGAAGTGTCATAACAAACATCAGATAGCTTATAAAACGTTGTGGTTAGCTTAAGATTATTTTGAATTTACTAAATATATCAATAATGAGGACAACAATGCCAAATATAAAGTATTTGTACAGAAATACACATATAAATATATGATATATGCCTAATATCACCCTATTTTCTGCTCTTGACCACGTTTCCGTTATTTAATGTTATTTTGTCCAAATGATTTTAAGCATGCAGGGTAGTGAAAATGATTGTATTAATTAGTGTTTCATTGCTGGTCAGTATAAACAGCAGTCCACAGATGTGTTTGTGTTTGGGAGACAACTTTAGGCAGATTTTTTTCTTTCTTGATTTGTTAATCTATAAATTAATTGTAAAGTTTCTTTTTTGGAAAAAATGCTAGTTTTTGGAAAACATTTGAACAGTTTTTATCTTTTTCTTAAAATTTCCTCTTGCTTTATGAATGTGGCTTATAATAGTTTGCCTCTTCTAAGTACTGCTACCAACCATCCATTGTAAATACTTATGCAAATTAAACTTTTTGAAGAAAGCTGTGGCATCGTCATTCCTCTCTTTTTTGCATTTGTTGCTTTTCTGCCATTTAACCAAGGTCAGGTTGTGGAGTTAAACAGACATTGGGACACAATCTAGCTCCACCTGGCTGGTAACTGAGGCGTTTTTAAGCCACAGCATATTTTAAGCGATTTCTGGCTCTGGTTCGGATCTCCTTCCGATTGGATGTTCCTGGAAAACCTGCGGAGGAAGGTGACGATGAAGCATCCTAATCAAATGCCTAAACTGTGGAGAATGCAAACCGCCATGGGTTACTAGCCAAAGGAGACCTATGATGTCAACGTTTCAGGAAACCCCTTGGAGAAGCACGCCACACCTCAGGAGTGTACAACTTGCATCACCATCAGTGAAATGTTTGTTAAAACTACACGCCTTATGCTTTTAATGTTACATAATGGTCAAACTGAGGGAATGAACCCATAAGAATTACTTTTCTTAACTTTGAATACAATCAAAACAGTGAGAAGCGCATTAAACACCAAAACATTTACACAGGTAGGTTAGACCATGATATGAAATTTTAATTGCCATACCAAAAAGTAGCTGCTTGTTGATAATTAGAATAGATGGACGAGGAAGCGTGATAACTGCTAATAACAGACGCTCATTGGAGATATTTTAAAATTTAATTTACTCTTTTAATTAACGATGGCAACTTACAAAAGTCAGACGTAGTGATGACGGCGTAAATTGCAGGCATGTGTGACACACACTAGAGACATTTTCAGACACACATATTTCCCAAGGAAACACCTTTCAACCTTTTGAGACTGGAATCTTTTGGTTATGATCCAAATCTCATGATCAAAGAAGAAGCTTGTATACTTGACGGACCAGATAATCGAGAGCTTTAGCTTTTGTTTCAGCTCACAAAAGCCACCCTGGCTACAGCAAAGTCTCAATATGTTAGGTAATTTATATTTTCCATAACCCTTTACCTGAAATAAACACACCAAATGTAAAGAGGAGTTCATTTTACACTGTCTCACCAAACAGTGGAGAGGAGGCAATGCACAACTCCCTCTGGAGCTGCTTCCATCGTCTCCCCCCACCCCTCTCAGCTCAACAGAGGTTTTTATTGAACAATGGGATGGAGGGCGGGCCTTCCTTGAGTTTCAGAGTTACAGACTCTTCTCCTAGGAAACCATATTCCAGAGATAACAGCACAGCAGGCTTACAGAGGAATCATTTACAGAGGAACCACACACACACATTTCTTCAGCTGACCGGTAACTTAATCAACATTCTTCAGAATCAGCTGACCGGGGTAACTTAATCAACACATATTGTTGGACCTTCATCTTGTCTCAGGAAGTTGGGTGATTACAGAGGCCATTCTTCACCACTCTAAAATGTGATCAAAGAATATAGATGACCTTTCGTTTAAACAAATACTTATCATGTCCTGCAATGTTCTTTAGGCCTCAAAAAGGTACAATACATACAGGAAAAACCTATCACAATACGTTATTCTATCTCTATTAGCACCAAGATACTTGAATTTTAAAGGAGCAATATGTAAAACTTATTACCATTGTCGCGTGCCCGTCCCATTTACCGGTTCCTTTAAAACCCAGTTCCGTTAGAACTTATGAGACGGTGCATCCATCAGGGTTCGAGGGGATGTCGGCGAGTATAATTGTACTAGATCCTGGTTTGGACCATTTAATTAGAATCTTGTCTTTTATTTTAAAGGTGAAATGACTTGCACGAATAGCCAGCCCCAGAGTACTACACTTCTTTTAAACTCGTTTACTTTTGGTTAAGATACTAGAGAGAAGTCTGGAGGCAAGCCAAGCCTCTCAGCAATTGTTTGGGTTACCCGGAATTAATTGCGCCTCTAACAGCTTATGTGGGAGGTTGGTAACTATAAAATGATTTATGCTAGTTGATCAGGCTATCATAAGTTTATCAATTTATTTATTAATCCAACCTTCCAGCTGATTAGAGACTTTTTCAACCTGCAATCAGAGCCAAAATAACCTCGAATATTCAACTTTTATCGCCCTTAAGACAACTCGTTACTCGCAAGGAGGGGGAAGTTAAAACTTCCCTTATCTTAAGGTTTCTTTATATTATTCTATTATAAACGGCAAAGTAAGTCCCGATAATTCAGAGACCGATCATCGATATGCTTACTCTGTGCAATTTATGGCCAGGGCCCCAAACGTGAAGCTTTAGAGAAAACCTGAAAGAATCAGGATTATGTTTCTTTTTCAAAAAAGGTTTATTACAAAATCAAAATACAAAAATGGGTAGATGAAAAAACAACTGCTATCCCCCACGGAGGAATTAGTTCAAAATGATTAAATAAGAGTTAGTTTACACCAGCTCTTGTCTTCTCAGAATCTCCCCAAAAACTGAATCAAGTCTCTCTCTCTGTCATCCCCCATCCAGGTTTGGACGGGGGATGACCCCTCCCCATCTGCTCTGCCTCTTTGTCCTCTGCCCCAACTGCTGTCGAATCTCTCAATCTATCTCTCTGCTGTTCAGAGCTGTTCTTATATACCCTTCCTGGGCCAGCTTAAGGTCATGGGGTCATTTACCAGATACACACTTTGTAGCTCAACACAAAACATTTGGTGTCATTTTCACTACATGCAGCATTCTTCTTAACACAGGTCATTACATCATCTTTTGCAGCATTCTTCAGTTTCTCTCCAATGTTCCCGAGAGGGCTTCTGGATCTGATGGGCTTGTCTTCACTCTGTTCTCCTCCAATCCCATCTTTCCAAGCCAGGGGTGGGGCAAAGAGGTTGGGTCAGTCAACCTGACCTTTTGCCCAGTTCTGTCCTCTCGTCCCTGTGACCCTTGTGTGACCCTTGTTTCTGACCACAGTTTTTTTGACCTGCAGCCCAGCTCCTGTCGGCTGGCTGATTTTGCTCGCACAAGCCAGTCCAGTGTGGCTCACCTTTTGACCCCGTACTTGCCACTGTCTTTGGCATGTGGGACTCGCAACACCATAAGTGTAGAAAGTGCTCCCTACCGTAGAACACCCCAGAATGCTAATTCCACATAAGATAATGTGTTTGTCCACTTATTAAATGTGTAGGACTCGTCTTCACTTGTCATCTAGAATCTTCTGGTGCTGATCTGTAACTGGCAACAGCCATGAAACTCAGTACAGTAGTGAGAAAATGACTGCAGTAACCAAATTTGACCACAGGATGTCATTCTTACATATTGCACCTTTAAAGGTGGAGCGATACAAATTACGTAACCCAGCTGCTTTAGTTAAAGAAGTGGTTTTTATTACAGCAAAGAAGCCAAACGTTACAGACAAGAATAATTATGAACCATGAGTATTAACGTCAAACTTAGACTGGCCTTTCATCCGGACGCCCGCTTCATTCTTCAGGACCATAACTCCAAACGACAGCAGGGATTTCTTACAGGCGTTCCCTTTAAATGTGGCTAAGAGAGTCTATGAGCTGTCTGTAAACAACTCTTACATCAGATCCCTTTGGAATTACTACGGACCTTCAAATTTCCTCAAATAAGAAAACAGAAGCTAACAAAATAAACCACTTCAATCAGTAAAAACTATAATAATATTTAAACATCATCTTTTAAGAGGCTGAATCTTCCAGGAGTACAATCTGACCTTTTTAATCTACAAAAGAACAAATGTTCCGACATTTCATATCTACTGTTCATCCCACAGTAGAGCCCTAGCGGTAGTCTTCTGTCATGAGCTGCTCAAACCGAGTCAAACAGCTGACGTTTTTATTTATTTACAATAAAGATTTTTTTGAGATCACTAAGAAACATCTGGTCTTCAGTAGCCTCACAAAGAGGCTAAATAAACACAATGGATGATGGGTCTTGAAACACTGAAAGTCCATGAGAGAATAGCTTGATAAAATGCTCGTTTAAGCAAGGAAAAATTAAACGATTAGGCACGATAAACACGTTTGTGTCACGGTTTGGTGCGGTTCGTTCACCGAGTCTGTTTGCATCGCTCTGTGTTCTGGGATAAACAGACAGGAGCTCAGGGATGCTGAGCGTGAACAGAGCGGTGAGCTTTGACACAAAAATAAAACAAAAACAGGAACAACACAGAGATTCAGTGAAAACAAAGACAATACTACTGGGCTCCGTCTAAATACTGGAAACCTACTTCTAAAGCTTTTATGATACAGCTTCCATCAGGGCGTCTTAAACTCGTCTTCATGGACCTCACGGTAATCACGTCCTCCAGGTGAAACGGGCCGCTCTGCATCCCAGAACTCGGTTTAAGCAACGCCGGCGGTCGAGTAAACATGGAATGAAAATGATTGTTCTTACAAGCAATGCAAGTAAACAAACAATAAATACAAACAATGTGCTTTATCCATATAAACATATTTACACAAAGTCTTTGGCTTTATGAATAAACATCAGCTACAAAATAATAACAATAATAATATAAAAACAAAACAAGTGTTGGCCGCCAGTGCACCGAACAAACGAAGCCCAATTCGGTTCTAGCTCTAAAAACACCTCTCTCTCTCTCAGAGCGGGCTGACCTCTGACCTCTGACTGAACATGAGATGTGTCTGGGAACTGGCCGAGTGGAAAGTGCATCGGGCCCAGCCCTGAAACAAACATGATTATGAACTATTTTACAATTTGTGATACAAAGAAGACTAAAACCACTAAATCAGCAACAAAAGCTAACAAAACAACAAAAGCTTGTATTTACACATATGTATATCTCTTCATCTGCATCCTGTTGTTTTTTCTTTGTACCAAATAAAACAGACTCATACATGATGGCTCAGACCTGACCAAGGGGATCAGGCATCTAACATGAAGCACAAACAGTTTGGCTGGGCTTGGGATTCCTGGCTGCAAACGCTCAGAAAAAAAGGGGAAATAATAAAAGTCACCATGATGACATGATCAGTGCTGGTAAAGTCTTTAAAATGATCAGAAGTGTGGGGTCGTGAGTCCACAGAAAACACCGACTTGCAGTTTATCAAAAGCTGTGACTACAGCTTCAAAGGGAAGGGAGACATCTCCAGGGCACACAGAGAACTGCAGCCAAAACGGCACAATGCATCAAGTCCGTGGCGGAGAGGTGAGAGGCGTGACGTTTAAACTGGGGTCCAAAACATACACAGGGCCGCTGTACAGTCAGCATAAAGGAACCCAATCAGTCCGGTAAAAAATCGGAACATTTCCCTTTGCAGAACAATGCTGGTCAAGCAGCTTTACGTTGTTTGTGAGACAAAGAAATGATGCTACAGGACACCACGGAAGGGGTCAGGACAAAAACATAAGCAAAGGATCAAATCTCCAGCTGTTCTTCGCTCCCCCCTCTCCATTGACTATTCAGGACGATTCGATGAACTCCAGAGCCAGATCATAGCAGAAGCGGTACTGCTCCTGGGGACAGACACACAAATGGACTAAAACCATGTGCTCAGTCACAAAACAGATGTTTCTACATTTTTAAGGAGATGAACTCACCGGAGTGTCCACCATGTTGGGTTTGCTGTTCCTCAGTGTCTTCACAGCGTGGAAGACGTCCACCACGTTCTGTCTCTTCACCATTTCACACACGATGCTGCTGGCACAAAACACTCCACTTCTGCCGCCTCCGTTTCTACAGAAACACACACCAACAAGATCTCCAGCTGCTGTTCTGGTTCCTTTTTAGGTGTTTAGGTTGCCTGACCCAGGATGAGCGGAGGAACATGGATTGATGGGAGGATTGTTGCCAAAGTGGACGAACCCACTTCCTGTTTAATAAAAAAACCTCAGTGACAGTTTGACACTTACAGACAGTGCACGATTGTTCTTCCTTCTCCCTCCTCTCCTTCACGCTGCCACTGATCCACCTGAAGGATCAGCTTGAGGAAGGAGCGTTTGGAGGTGGGGACGTCTCTATGCCCCGCCCATCCCAGGTACTGGAACTGGCGGACCATCAGGTAGCCTTCCTGAGGCTGTAGAATCAAAAAAACAGTTTCTGTAAGAGCAGAAAAGTAAAAATGCTCAGATTTACTGGGTAAATGCAGAAGCAAACTCACTCTGGTGAGGTTGCAGACTCTGAAGAGCCTGCTGATGACATCACAGTCCATGGAGCAGGACATACATTCCACCTGGACCGGACCGTAGCGCAGCATGCCCTCCTCTGGCCAGTACTGAGGACAACCCTGAGAAGGAAAACAACAAACTCAACTTATCAAATCAAATCACTTTTATTGTCACGTCACATGTGCAGGTACACTGGTACAGCATGTGCGAGTAAAATTCTTGTGAGTATACTTGTACTCATAAACGCACCAAACGTTTATTTTCTCATTGATTGTTTTATATCTTGTGTGTTTGTGCCTTTAAGGAGCAACACTAAAAGTCTTTAAAACTTTATGCTTTCAAACTGGTTTCAGTGGTTCTTCAGCCATAACCCTCTGCTGCCCTCTGCTGACCAGAAACTGCACTTACCAAGTTGGTGGTTCTGGTAGGAACACAGGGGCAGCTTGCGACCTGCTTTACGGAAATCGCTTTTTACTGTGTTGGTAGCAAATATTATTAGCTGTTAGCTTTTTCCGTTCGCTGATCGTCAATAAAAAGCACAAAAAGCATCATGGCGGAGCCTGAAAGTAAAAGTATGACAGGAATGTCTTTGGAGCTAAAAGCAGAGTCAACATCAGCATGGCCTACGCTAGGCTGAGGAAGCTAAAGGAGGCTACAAAATTACAGGCTGATGGTGACCTGGCTTTATTGCTACAGGACTAGACTTAAAACATTTATTTTGATAGGGGGCATGATTAAATTCTGATGTTAGCCCAGATCTGGACGAAGGTTCGGGTTGGACAGCTGAATTCTACTTCTCTGGTTTTCCTCTCAAACTCTGCATGAGCAAGCAGGTTGGCTGGCTTGTCCTCGTTATTCATGGTTCATGAGTAAAATGGAATTTAGGAACAAATTTCCGAATCAGGATCAGCATTTAAACATCAACATTACCACAGTTTTTTACCTGAGCCAAGTCGATCTCATTCAGCATCACCAGGCTGGTACATCCGTAGTCGTAAACAAGTCGCCAAAAGTCCTTGACGGTGTTGGGCAAAGGATGCTGGGTAACGATGAACGCTGCAGGCTGTCTGTAGCTCTGCAAGTCGAAAAAACAACGTAAAAAAACAACCATGAGGTGTTTCATTCGCTCATCCTAACAGCTGTGGTGGGTGTCTGTTATCTCCTTATGCAGCTCGTGTTTACTGTCCTCTCACTCTCTCACACAAACACACTTTAAACAACAAACAGTCAAGTGGCACGAACACTGAGATGTGATGAAGCCAATGAAGTAGAAATGGGATGTTTGGTTGGATGGTCGTGCAGTGGGGGGGTTGGGGGGGCATGCAAATGAAGCTAAACCAGGAAATACCTTCATAGGCATCTAGTTAGTGGGATCAGTTAACGCTGAGTTCAGGTAAATTTCAGTTTTCCACGACATTTAGGACTCCTGAACTGAAAGTGAACTGAGCCCAACCAGCTCCAGCGAGGGTGTGTGTGTGTGTGTGTGTGTGTGTGTGTGTGTGTGTGTGTGTGGGGGGGGGGGGGGGGGCATTATCGTGATGAGATTCTGGTGTTGCGGAGTACGATGGCTTTGGTGGACATGAATCTGGAGGCTGAACAACACTGAAGCCATGAAACAAATCCAGTATTAGAGATTTGAAGTGAAACCTGGTTACCTGGAACTCTTCTGACAGCTTGGTTAGAGAGAGGCCAGAGGTGAGTGACTAAACGTGGAAAACTCCGCTGAATTTACCAAACACGTTGAAACATAGATGGAAACCACTCCAGACCTACAGCCCACCCGCTACAGACTCCTCGCCGCTCTGATGAGCTGGACTCTCGGGAAATGACCAGATGTTCTCATCTGCCTTTACACTTCTAGCTCCTCTGTGCTTTTACTTATTTATATTTTTGGAACATGGACAACTGGTTGAGTTCGTGCCGCTAACATAAGCGATGTTTGGGTGTCGGCCAGAGAAGCTAGCGGTCTTTCCAGAACCTGGATTTGTCTCTAGCCTTCTGCTAAAAACCACAAACACAGCATCACACAAACAGGGAGGGGAGTCTGTGTGTGGGTGTGTGTGTGTGTTACAAATATGTGACTGCAGTTTGGGACGACACACAAGAAGGTAGAATGACTGTGTGAATTTCTTTGATCTTTTACACTTCTGCTGGATATTTCCGGGGTTCTCATTGATGACACACACCACGTCCCAGACTACTCCTGCTCGATGCGTTGAAAACTAAACATTCGTGTAACGCTTGCGGACTTACATCCATCAGAGCTGCGTTGATGTAGTTGCTGCTTTCTCCGTCGATCGTGATGAGGAAGGGCAGGCACCGATCAGGAGGAAGACCATCCATGAAGCGGTTCTTATCTTGGTTTCTAGGCAACAATGCGATGCTGCAGTCCTCTGGCTGCGGCTGTGGAGTCACTGAGTTTAATGTCTGAAAAAAGAAAAAAAAAAGAACTTTGTGAAGTTTTTTCTCATGTTTGAGCTGCTGGAAGATGCTAAACTTATAAAGATGCTCAGCAAATCTTCCTCAGCCACTCAGACAGGTGTGTGTTTAGTTCTGGATGGTTGGATGTACTCAGGAGACACCATAACTCCAGATTTACAATTAAAGGCGTGGGACTGATGACAAAATAGTGAAGGGGACGTAGGTAGCAGCAGAATTACCTGGAACTCATCCTTCAGGTGGGAGGAGTTGGTCTGGGAGTCGATGCGGATCAGCTCGTAAAAGGCTGCTTTGAACTCACAGACCGGTATGGCCGTCTCTCCGCACAGACACGCCTCCAGTATGGCATCGTGGATGAAAATGTACTGCTCCTGCACACCAGGTAACCCACACATGACATCAGACCGCCGCATATCAACACAGCTGGAGATAGTGCAAACACACAGAAACATGAACGGCTGAAATGAAGGCGAATATGCAGACACTCCTGAGTGAGTGAGTGAGTGAGTGAGTGAGAGAACGAGTCAGTGAGAGAGAGAGAGAGTAAGTGATTAAGTGAGTGAGAGAAAGAGTGAGTGAGTGAATGAGTGAGAGAGAAAGAGTAAGTGAGTAAGTGGGTGAGAGAAAGAGTGAGAGAGAAAGAGTGAGTGAGTGAGTGAGTGAGAAAGAGTGAGTGGTAGAATGAGTCAGTGAGTGTGTGTGTGTGTGTGTGTGTGTGTGAGAGAGAGAGAGAGAGAGAAAGAAAGAGTGAGCGAGTGAGTGAGAGTGAGAAAGAGTGAGCGAGTGAGTGAGTGAGTAAGAGTCAGCGAGTGTGAGAGACAGAGAGAGAGAGAAAAAGTGAGTGAGAGAGAGAAAGAGTGAGTGAGTGAATGAGAGAATGAGCCAGTGAGTGTGAGAAGAGTGAGAAAGAGTGAGCGAGTGAGTGAGAGAATGAGTCAGTGAGTGTGAGAGAGAGAGTGAGAAAGAGTGAGTGAGTGAGTGAGTGAGTGAGAGAGAGAGAGAGAGAGAGAGAGAGAGAGAGAGAAAGAGTGAGCGAGTGAGTGGGAGAATGAGTCAGTGAGTGTGAGAGAGAGAGAGAAAGAGTGAGCGAGTGAGTAAGAGTCAGCGAGTGTGGGAGACAGAGAGAGAGAGAGAGAGAGAAAGAGTGAGTGAGAGAGAGAAAGAGTGAGTGAGTGAATGAGTGAGAGAGAAAGAGTAAGTGAGTAAGTGGGTGAGAGAAAGAGAGAGAGAGAGAGAGAGAGAGAGAGAGAGAGAGAGAGAGAGAGAGAGAGAGAGAGTAAGTGATTAAGTGAGTGAGAGAAAGAGTGAGTGAGTGAATGAGTGAGAGAGAAAGAGTAAGTGAGTAAGTGGGTGAGAGAAAGAGTGAGAGAGAAAGAGTGAGTGAGTGAGTGAGAAAGAGTGAGTGGTAGAATGAGTCAGTGAGTGTGTGTGTGTGTGTGTGTGTGTGTGTGTGTGTGTGTGTGTGTGTGTGTGTGTGTGTGTGTGTGTGTGTGTGAGAGAGAGAGAGAGAGAGAAAGAAAGAGTGAGCGAGTGAGTGAGAGTGAGAAAGAGTGAGCGAGTGAGTGAGTGAGTAAGAGTCAGCGAGTGTGAGAGACAGAGAGAGAGAGAAAAAGTGAGTGAGAGAGAGAAAGAGTGAGTGAGTGAATGAGAGAATGAGTCAGTGAGTGTGAGAAGAGTGAGAAAGAGTGAGCGAGTGAGTGAGAGAATGAGTCAGTGAGTGTGAGAAAGAGTGAGTGAGTGAGTGAGAGAGAGAGAGAGAGAGAGAGAAAGAGTGAGCGAGTGAGTGGGAGAATGAGTCAGTGAGTGTGAGAGAGAGAGAGAAAGAGTGAGCGAGTGAGTAAGAGTCAGCGAGTGTGGGAGACAGAGAGAGAGAGAGAGAGAAAGAGTGAGTGAGAGAGAGAAAGAGTGAGTGAGTGAATGAGAGAATGAGTCATTGAGTGTGAGAAGAGTGAGAAAGAGTGAACGAGTGAGTGAGAGAATGAGTCAGTGAGTGTGAGAGAGTGAGTGAGTGAGTGAGTGAGTGTGAGTGAGTTAGCACTGAGGATGAGATGAGATGGGATGATGACTTGTCTTCTGACACTTCTGAATCAGTCTGAACAGGAAATAGTATTTTTGGACATTTCAAGCCAAAAGCATGAAGTTTGAGCCGCAGACTGAAGATGAAGAAGTGAATCTGAACATGAACGTTGTCTTTTGTCATGAACAGATCGGTAACTGGAGAGATCCCAGTCATCTCTGGATCTCACTGGGATGTTTGCTCTGCTCTAGAGAGGATGCGGATGGAGGATGGGTAATGCAGTCACCTCAGTCTGTACCATGTTGATCCTCCTGGAGCGAAGAGCTTTCACACAGTTGTAGATGTCGACCACGCCCTCTCTCTCCGCCATATCCAGCATGATGTCGATGACGATGAAACAGCCCGTACGTCCCGCTCCAGCGCTGCAGAGAAGAATACAAAACAACATTTAGGTTCCTTCTATTAATGTATTTTAATGGTCATATCTCTGTCCTATTGTGTGGCATTTTATTGATGTACAGCGCTTTGTTTGTCCATTCTGGCCATGTGAAAGCGCTCTATAAATAAAGTTGATTTGATTTGATTTGATTTCTATGTCTGAAATTAAGTAAAAAAAGGTGTTAAAACAAGTTTTACCTGCAGTGGACAACGATCGGTCCAGCTGACGGGGGATTGGAGATTTTAACTCGTCGAATGAAGGAAAGTAGTCCGGTGGCGTGATATGGAACTCCGTGATCAGGCCAGCCTGTGAAGTGGAACTGCTTGACCTCACGCACCTCGTTGAAACCACGCTAGATGAAAAGAAACGAGTTGAATGTAACATGATTACATCACATTTGAGTCCATGTGCTGCTTAAAGCCTACAAACGGCCTAAGCTGCTGTTTTCATATGAAAACTGACAAAAAACTAAGCTTTCACCTTTCTTGTTATTTATATTTACACATTTACATGACCAGCTGTGGCCCAGCTAATAGGAGCATAAAATACAGAATCGGTCTGAAATAATTGCAAACATCATGAGCACGTTCCCGAGAATCTACTTTAGTTTAAATATATAAAATCAGATTCTTAAGTCAACTATAAACATCAGAAGACAAATCCAGATTTTAGCTTTAATTTTATGTTTTTTCTCTACACTACAGAGTGAAAATACGTTATTTGAGTGAAACTAAAGAATTCCAGTATGAAACAATGCTAAACGGTCATAAAGGTAACGACTTACCCTCTCTAGCGTGAAGGTACGGACCACATATTCAGCAAGAGGCTCCACCTCCACAAACGTCACCTTGAAGTCTCCATATAGCTCAGCATCATCGGGCCAGTACTTATAGCACTTCACCTGGTTGGTTAGAAACAATAAAGAAATCAAACATTGTCATGATGACATCACATATGATGTCACAGGTGCATTTTGCCTTAAAAACTGCAAAAGCTGTTTTAGAGAGACGGAAAATTTAGATTTTTAAAAATTGCTCGCCTTACCCAGTGCCACTAATTGGTGTGTACACACACACAAACTCACAAGCACATGTGTGTGCACATACAGGCGCACACACACACGCACACACTCTCACACACACACACGCGTATGCACACACACACACACACACGCACGCTTGTGCACAGACACACACAAATAAACGTGCGCACACACACACACACACACATGCTTGTGCACAGGCACACACACATAAACGTGCGCACACACACACAGACCCACACACACACACGCACACACATATGCGTACACACACACACACACGCACACACATATGCGTACACACACACACACACACACACATGCATACACACACACACACACACACACACACACACACACACACACACACACACACACACACACACACACACACACACACACACACACACACAGAAATAGCTGAAATACACCAAAGGAAAAATGGAGACAAAAAAGAAGCTACTTACCCTTCCAACCTCTACCAGATTGGTTACCATGACGATGCAGGCCGACTGTTCCTGCCACACCATTCTCCAGAAATCATACACTGTCTCATGAACAGGACCTAAACAGCAAACCAGAGCTTCCTTATCGTTCTGACCATGATCAATAGGTGCATCCTGCCTGTAAGTCTCTGAAAATGACAGGGTCACATGTTGTTCCGTTATCTCACCTTGAGTGGCGATGTAGTGACTTGGTCTCTGGTAACCCTGTAAACAGAACGCCGCTGTGAGTGTGCCAGTAAAGTCATTTCCACATCGTGATCATGATTAGAAATGTAGAAGACTATTTTTGGTCTAAACTGCTGTTATACCATTTCTTGCCTTAACCTTTAATGCTGCAACCACATAGTTTTCACATGATTCATAGTACTACACACACCTGACTCTGCTATATTAGCAACTGATAAGGAATCAGACAGAAACCAAGAGCTATGCAGAGAATTTTTATAGCATACAACGAGATTTGAGCAGGAATGGCAGGTGAGTAAGATGAAGTGAAATCTTTCATGCAGCAGACGCCCCATCAATCGATGCACATGAATGTGTGGCTGGTGTAAAGGTTGAGGGGCTTGAATGAAAGAATCCACAGTGATACTTACATCCCTGTACAGCCAAATCTACAGCCCAAGCCACAGGCAGAAAGAACAGGTGGAAGAAAGAAAGCACAACAATGTCAGTGAGTGTCAATCAGAAAAAAATAAAATCTGAAATCATGAGAAATGAACCGAAAACATGCAGAAATAAAGGTGAAGATATAAATGTCCAAATTAGACTGAAGAGAAAGGACACTGCTCTGCAGATCTGAGGCCCGGGTCACCAAGCAGGATTTTGAAAGATGCGCGGCGATGACTAATCACAGATTTAGCGTTTGGTCCCACGGTGTGTGATGTGCAGATACAACTACACACAATTCCAGTTCACACGCAACCATGCGCCGGTCAGACGGAAACCTCGCGAAATCAAACGTGCCTTCATAGTAAAAAAAAAATAACATGGCGGAGGAGCGACTAGCAGTAGCGGTTTTAGGCACGGGCAGACAGGGCAGTTGCCCGGGGCGGCATTTTTTCATGACACAAAAGGGGCGCACAAGCGCTGAGTAAAAAAAAAAAAAAATCTGCGCCGCACCGAGGTTTTCTATTATCTGTCATATGACAGTGTCTGGATTGGAAACAGCAAGTTGGCGCCCCCTGCAGCTGCAGGCGCTCCTGCTGACTGAGAACGTTCACGTGCTCCGTGTGTCTATGAAGAACAGGAAGGGGAGGGGTGCGGCGGGGGAATTCACCTCTGCGTCTTTCCCAAGTGAAATTAGTGGGTAGGGGCTGAATCAACTGTATTAACGTGGCCAAAGTCAATCACATCTTGATGTTCTTCCACATTTCATTCATAATATCAACAAAGACAGGCCTATCATTCTTTCAGGTGTTTCTGAATTGTGTGAAATGGCCGAATAAAAAAAGGAAAAACAAAACGATTTTGTGGTCACCCCCCCATCCAGGTCAAATTGTTTAGTCCTGACTAAAGGAAACTTATTGAGTCAAGAGCCAAACAGAAGAGATGAACATAAAAAGGCTAAAAAGGCTAAAACCACCAGGTGCCCGATTCAGGAATAAAAAGAAAAAAGAGGAGAAAGATAAAGGTATGTACGCTCTCATGATGCATGTTTTCAATTTTTTAACCAGTTAACTGGGATTTTAACGGTTAAATTCGGTCAACTAGTTGCTAACAGAGCTAATAGAGCTGAAATATTGAAACGAATATTCAAATGGTTCGAAAAAATTCCTTGAATCGTTTTTTACTGATTCAAACTAGGATTTGTTAAATGCTCGCTGCAGCCTGTGGCCTGCCTCAACAACAACAAACACATGTTGATCATGTTCACATAATAATAACACAACTGTACAAGCAGAAGAAAACTCTCCAGTCACCACTAACTATCCTGTTTATTTATTGCAGATGGCTGCACTGATTATTTTTTACATGATTTGTTCTGTAAAAGTTGGCATTTTTGGTAGTCTACAGTTTTTTTTATGTCAGTCTAAATTACAATTTCAGGGGCAATTGTAAAATATTATGGATCATGATAAAGATCTATTGGAGATCTACCCCAACTTTTGGACTGCTCTGCCAGTCACTGTGGCTCAAGCTGAGAGGAGCTTTTCAAAACTTGGTCAAGTCATACCTGAGGTCAACTATGTTTCAGGGGCGGCTCACTAACCTGGCTCTGATTAGTTTCAATCACTCAGTAGGGGAGCAGATTTCATATGATGACATCATTGATGACTTAGCATCAAGGTTAGGTTTTAATTTTAGTTTGTGTTTTCTGTTCTAAGTGCAATGCTGTAGTGATTATCTTTAGTTTGTTATGTGTGAAATATTTTTGCTATTTAGAATATTTATTATATATTATGTTCATATATTCTTAATATTTAGTTATTGTTTGTTTTTGTATATTTGATTCTATATATTTTGATACAGTATATAATGTATAGTGCTTTACATTCTGACAACTTCATAGTAATTAATGTAAATATGTGCAACTTAGAAAAATAAATGTTCAATAGTTTTTCTAATAAAACATGCCTGTTTGTAGAAAACATGTGTGTTCGTGCAGGTGGGGTGGTGTGGTGGTGGTGGTGGTGGGGGCGGTTGGGGGGGGGGGGGCGCTCAAAGGGGGCCTTGCCTGGGGAATAATTCCATATAGAACCGCCACTGGTGACTAGCACCCTCCTGTCACCTCCGTTTCTGATTGTCTACACATCACAAGAGGCTGCACGCTCGTTTGACCTCTAAAATCGAACGAAGACAATCCGACACGTTAGATCTCATGATCAGACTATGGTATCCTTACAGAGTAAGTCACCCCCTACCAGATTCTTACTCAACTCCCACTTCCTGTTTGAAAAATGCAACAAATGCTGTTGCCTAGCAGACCAAGAGCCACTAACAAATACACACAAACACAGGATCACAACGACATTGTGACATCATATGGTACCAGCTAACGTTCTAGGGTACCTCTTGGCCAATAGCGATGGCAGATTTACATTCAAATGCAGTGCAGAGTTTTTATCTGACAACGGTACAACACTGACAGTTTTAGACAGAAAATTTAATTTTTATCTAAAATCCACTAAAGTGCAAAACTATTGACTACACGTGTCTGCTGCACAATTAGAGATGCGTTTATATGGTTTATCAGGGGGAAAAAGTTGATTTGGGGGTGACTTGCTCTTTAAAGTGGTAATTCTAATATTGTGGCCAGCCATCCTATAAATGTAGATAGGATGGCTGGCCACAACATAATCTTTTTGTATTAGGTCTGGAATGCTAAAGAAACATTTGCAATGATTATTTCTGATCCTAACTCTGAGTTTTTCATGTAGGCTGAACATGAAAATAGTTTCCTACACCTATCGCCTGAAGGCTGTTGTTGGTTTAGCGTCCAGGAAACAGAAGAGAACGTCTCAGCTAGTAGAAGCTAATAGTTAGCCTTGGCTACTCCACCACACAGCACAGCTCCTCCAGGCTTGTGTCAACGTTGCAGACTCTGTGGTAGAGTTGTGTCGCTGTAAGCCAATCAGAGGAGAGATGTCCGAATATCAGGAAATAATGGTCCAAATCCTGCTGTGTTCAGCTCAACTCTGATCTGGCTCACTACTAGTTCCTGAAACAGGTGCACCAGAGTTTTATTCCACCCGCACAATGACTTACAAGGCATTCTAGAGACCGCTGCAAATGTATTAAAATATGAGTATAGTACCACTTTAGGATTGCCGGAAGAGAAGAATCGGGGTGAAAGTATATCGACATGTGAAGCGGGCCTAAGCTGTGTTTTTTTTTAAGATCAGATCTCCGACAGCTAGTAGCAGCTGTTATATCAGCGAAAAAGAAGTGTCCACTCTATCCATTCTGATTGTAGCTTACTGTGAGTGCACGTAAAAGTTGAAATAATACAGAAAAGCATGCTTCAAGCACATTAGCATCACACTATCACAATGAGAGTGACCAACGTGCAGATGTTCATTGGCGAGAAGACATGGAAGATGATGGATGGAAACACGTAAACATGCTAGAAAGCAACAAGAGAGATGAAGGAATGGTGTTTCTATCAGGCTAGCGTACTAACGGAACTGCCACTGTGACCAATAAGATCACTCAATCAAACTTTATTTGTAAAGCGCCTTCCACTGCCTTTACGAAGCCCAACAAGGCATAAAAGTCTCCAAAGAACAGAGAGCGATAAAACAAATAAAAGCAGCAAGATGTGACTTTAAGCGTACAGCCAGGTAAGCAAGGCTAGCTTTACTGAGGACAAACACAAACTAGGACGTTTGGTCAGAACGCTAAAGGCTCACAAACTCACTAGTTAGGCCTTTCACTACTCAGGAAAACGTGCAAAAACAAGTTTTACCAGATAAGATTATTTGTGATGTTTTATTGGCAGCGGTAAACTCCAGTTGTCTGTTCTTCATGTCAGGTGCATTTATAACCAATCAGTGTCAACAAAATCCAAACTATAGCAACAAACGTAGTAATGGTTGTACTTTAGTGAGTGGCATCAAAGCAAAGCGACTGGCGAGCTGATGGGAGAAGCAGCAGAACTGACACCAGTGAACGACACACGTACAGCACGTCTGGAGGCATGAGTCACAGAATGGGCTGATGGATGATTGGTGGTAGACGCAATAAAGGTATATAGGCCTGACATACGAGTGAGGGAGTGTGGTTTCGTTGGTTTCGTTGGGAGCCAATAGTAGCATTCGATGTGTTTCCACTTACATCGATGTAGTTGGCGTTGATGTAGTCGGAGGAGGGGTCGTCTTCAATGGGCTGCAGAATAACCCGTGAATGATCATCTAGAGAAAGAGACATCAAACAGAACAATGGAAGGAGACAAACAGCGTTAGGGCTGCAGAACCGTTAACTCATTCACTGCCATTGACGACTTGAGTCGTCATTTGCATTTTTTTTACTGTGTGGGCGTCGGACGAGCCCCCGCAGAGTGATGGGCTCGACACACGGGAGGCGACATCGCCTCTCCTCCATTCATTTTCAATGAGACATGCGCGACAAAGCGATAATCGCGGGTCTCCCTCCTACTAAGCGAAACGCGAAAAACGTGCGTGTGAAAGTTTGCACTCGTGCACGTGTTGTGCACAGACGACCCAGCGACGCGATCCCAGAAAGTTGAAACATTTTCAACTTTTCATTGCTGTCGCTCGGACGAGGACCAATCAACGGAGGTTTCATTCACTGACCAATGAGCGGGCAGGATGCTCCGCACATCTCCGAGCAAACATGGAGGAGAAGTTGATTATTATTATGTTTTATATTGTAAAATCACACGTAAGATTTCACATAACTCTAGCAGCACCTTGTGAAACATCATATCTATCACTTTATTAACTCTGAACTGCTTAAATAACCTTAATTCCCTCCAACCTGACACAGCCAAACAGAAACACGGAAGTTTCGATTTCGCCATGGAACAGAACGCGTAGACGGCTTTGCCGCTGGCCGCTGCCACGGATTGCCTCCCGTGTGACAGGTCATAAAAGCGACAGTGACAAATTTCGCTGATCGCGGTCGTTTGTCGCCTCCCGTGTGTCGAGCCCATGAGAACAAACATCTCAGCTGTAAAGCCGATCTTCATCCGCATACGTCGCACGTCACGTGATCAGGAAGCAGAACATCCATGTGTTAGGAGATTGTTTTGGGCCGCTGCTGTAAAAAAAGTGAGGCCCGAACCGGAAAAGGTTCTGCCGATCACAATTCAACAACGGATTATGAAAGAACGGAAAACGCTCGAAACGTGTAAGAGGTGAGTCTCCGCTTTGTTTTGGTTGTTTTGGCGTCGACATCATCCTAGCGCACAACGTTTTTGACTCTTAAAAAAACAGTAAAATGGGTGAGAAACGCTGGCAGCGAATGAGTTGAGAAATGTGTTGGTTATTGGTTTTAGAAAGGAAGGGGTCTAATTTCTGCTTGAACCAGGTCCAGGTACCAGACATACCAGTCACAAACCAAAATCATCCGTCTTCCTCTGTTTATTCTCATGTTTCCTTTCACCAATAAGTTCCTTCCCACTGTGCAAAGACCTAGTCTGGACGTCCTACAGACGTGGTCTGGACCGACGGACTCAGTATAGACATGATCTGCACGTCCACGTGACGCTGACTGTAGGGTTTGCTCAGGTCCTTTGCTCCATTTCTAGTCTTTGTGCCTGAATTGCACCTTTATTCCCACTAAACCATGCATACTTACACGCTATGATGTTCCCGTAGCGGTTTTTTGCACGATTCTGATCTTTCTTTGCTACATCCCAGGATGCCGACTGGCCCTCGAAGAAGCTCTGTAACAACGGTGACAGGAAAGATTATTACACATCACAGGTCTTCAAAAGAAGCACAGAGCAGAATAATAGGGCTGCAATGGGTAATTTCTTTTGTTGGTTTAATGCACGTTTGTGAAGACGCTGAAACAAAACAAGCCATGTCACTTTATTTTAGAATTGCATGTTAGTATTGCTCTTCTTCAGCCACGTGTAACACCTATCTAGGCTTTAAAGGTCTACACCATAACAGAAGCTACCAGTATTACTTCATATTCCTCCTTGAAGCCGTAGCTGTCTGATGTTTTCATGAGGTTGATGTGCTGCAGAAGGTCGGCCACCCTGATGGCAGGATGCAGCTGGCCGGTCTGATAAGGAGACTCGGTTCCTTCGCAGTGATAGCGAGGAACATCCAAGAGCCTGCTGTTCTCCGCTGCAGAGCCACTGTGGTTCTCATCTATAAGGACAAAAGAAGGAACCATTAACTGAAGTTAGAAGCTGATTCACCAGGTTTTATTCCACTTTTTAATCCTCAACAAGTACAGAAACAGAGTTTTTAGTGTAAAGATGAAGTTAGGAATGCTTATTTGCACTCAAGAAAATCAATAACAAATAATAACCTGTAAAAACTTTCTTGGCTGACTCACCTGTGATAGGAACTACATGTTATTGCAGCATAAAAAGATGAAAACATGTAGTCAGACATCAGGATTTAATTCCCTACTTTCAAAATGTGATCCGAGACATTAACAGGTTCAAACACAATGGATGAGAAACGATGCATGAATGATGACATGATTTTTGGGCACTGATAAACAGAATTATCAGGGTCAACATTACAAACTGAAAACTCTGTTCTGAAGGTCCACCACGGTGCCATCTAGTGGAGATGTAAAGCAACAACACTGAGTCAACCTAATCCAACACCAAATTACATAAAATCAAAGATAAAAATATGAAATTATGAAGCCAGATTAGTGATAACTGTATTCATATAAATATTTATTATTTTCTTCTTATTGCTACTGTATTTTCTAAGCACTGACGCAGAATTTCTGGGGCGATCTGAGACTAAATGATGGAGAAAGGCTTTAAATGCTGAATGACGGAATAGAAAGTGTCTGCAGCAGATTTCACCCTCACTCCTGTTTATTAGCTGACTGTTTATTTCATCCAGCTGACGCTCTTCTCTGCTCTGAGGACATGTTAGCTCATTACTGACTGTTAAAGGTTTGTTAGGCCCTGCAAACCTGGCCTGACAGCGCGTCTTCATTTACAACTTCCTGCGACTTCCTAGTCGTGTGTGAAGTGATTGGTGGAGACAGGTCGTAACTGCAGCCTTCGCTCCACATTAGAGGCGCTGCAACAGTTAATTAACACAGTGTGGTGGTGTGGCTGTGGAGGCCTTAAGGTTAGATTAAAACTCCACATCAGGCTGCAGCTGGAGGAGAGCTCAGCACGGTCACCGATTTAGTTTGCTGTCGTTTAGTTATGCCAGTTCCCTCCTCTTCTTAAGCCTCGATTTCTGTCATTTTTTGGAGTAGAAGTAATGACATCTCCCTGGGAGATGGTTGATAATTACTGTGGCTAGACATAAGTGTAGCGTCCAGCAATGGTCAGTTTGGGTACAGCCTGACCTTCCACCATCTATTCAACATCTGGTCATTAAGGAGACACAACATTGCTTGTGTTCCCTTTAAACAAGTCTGCCTTCACACCAGCTGGGATTCAGACTCCACAAGTCTAAATCATAATATTAACTTACTTTCCTCAAGGTCTCAGCTCCAGAAGAAAGAAGACCAGCTCGGATCATTTGTTAAATGCAAGAGTTATCATAATCAATCATTAATAACTTCTTCTATGACTTTTATCTATTTAATCATTAAATAAACATTTGCTTATTATTACTTGTGGTAAAATAGTATAATGAAATGAAATGCTTCATTAATCTAACTCACTGAGTGGATGTTGTGTTTATCTACTAGACCGGGGGTCGGCAACCCGCGGCTCTTCCATCCATCTGATGCGGCTCTCTGTGCTTGTAAAATAATGAATGGATATTTAAATAAAAAGCTTTATATTTTACTGCATTAATTTTACATCTGTAAGCCAATTCTAAATGTAAAGATTGTCTGCGTAAACCTGAACAGTTCCAACCCGGTCTACTGTGAGACCGGGTTGACGGGTCACGCTTGTGCGTAATCATAGGCGCTTTCTGAGCTGAAGAGGATGTGAGATTCTGGGCTTCTCCTCAGACGGCTCCTGGATGTGTCGCCACATTGGAGACAGGAACAAGCACTATTCAGCCAAAGTTTCATAATCAGGGAACATTTTCTAAGTGACAAGTCTTGCTTCAGTCAGAGGAATCTTCCTGCATGCGCTCTTGTTCTGCGACGTGCTCCAAGCCCCTCTCCACATCTTCAGCTCGCTGTGCACCGTACGTACGCGCTGACAGCGAGCTGCGCTGAGCAATGTCCAGCTCAGATGGGAATCATTTCTTGGGTGATTTAGCTACATCTGCGATGTGCGTAGAATAAAGTGTCAGTTCGTCTGCATGCGTCGGGGTAATTCTTTCTATTCTTTCTCCGTCAAAATAAAGGGTCAAATACGAGAACTATCCGGTCAACACAAGCCCTGCTTTTAACAGTTTTGTTTTCTTGTGAAAATAGTTCAATTTAACTTGATTAACACCAGAGCCAGGCGCACTGCACCTTTATCTCCGTCACTGTAAATGAGGGAAAAACAAAATGATCGGATCCTTTTCTGACCTTCCCCACCTACAAAGTTTAATTACAACAATCAAACGTGACAGAGCCAGGATTTGTATTCTGAACAGTCTAAACATGTTTTAAAAAGAAACGTATGACAAAAGTGGCACCTGCTCAGTAAAACCACCAACAGGGTGAAAAATATCAAAATATTGTAGGCAGAGATGGGCTACAACTTCTGGATCCACTTTATATAAATCGTTTTATTGATTATCGTCTCATGAAAGATAACTTTGACGTAAACGAGCGGCCGGTACCGGCTGCTGTCACCTGTTGTGATTGGTTAAAGCAGCTCTCTGCTGTCTGAGGGTAAGCCCCACCCACAACGCCACGGCTGCTGTGGCACCCAGTGTTTTCTTTACAGTGGGAAACGGGTAATAATGGCTCTTTGATGGGAACAGGTTGCCGACCCCTGTACTAGACTGTGTTCACCATGTTTTGACGACAAGGTTAACACCTGCTTCACGATAACAAGTACAGCTAAGTTAAATTCATTCCACATAGCTAGACCTTTCACACAGATAAGAGTCTCCATATTGAAGAAGGCGTGTTTCTGTGTTGCCTTGGTAACATCAACTTTCCTGTCAGCCTCTGATTGGCTGCCCAAATCATAACAGCTAAACTTTAAAACTACAACAGACTGAGAGTTCTGGACAGTTCTGGAGAGTACTGGAGAGTTAGCTCAGACTGGCCATCAGTTGCAATACTCTAGAAACATCCAAGATTTTTACAAGTCGAAAAAACCTTTTGTCTCCTGCAAAGCTGATGAGAAACACTTCCTGCAGAACAAAGCTGAATTGTTCAACTCCTTAAGAGAATCCCTGAGACGCAAGCTGATTCCATCCTGTATTGCCTGTTGACATCTTTTGGACCGGGAAAAGTCGCTACCGTGTGGTCAAAATACTGGACCAGGGTGCCCGAGGTCATCCGACCTCCCTGACCTTCGGATCCTGACAAGGGTCAGCAAAAGGGCAAGTAGAACACAGAGATTGCGTCTGGATGCATTTTGTTGAAAATAACTTCATAAGCTTAACGCACTCCAAATTTATTTCACCAGAACTCAGCTTAATTTCATAAGGAAGCTCTGATCGATATCACATTTACACATTGGTTACTTCAGCACCTTAGTTCCACTCATTCACCTTAAATGCTTAATTCATTAGTCATGTTTTAAACAGTTCGTAAAATAAATTCTTACGTTTATAAACTTGACTCTTTCTTGAAGCAGCACGAAGCTTGGTTGATCACTGAAAAAGCAAAGAACCTAGAATCTTCTGAATAATTACAATAAAGACCTCGCAGGTTAATATTTTATATTTATATAGAATATTACATCTTCGTGGTCATTAAAGATTAAAATCATCAATTTGTAAACGCTACATAAGTCTCAGCAGGAAACAGACACCAGCGGCTGCAACTAGAAGTGACTGAACAAGAACACGGGATGATGAATCAAGTGCTTGGCTTCAGGAGTTACCAATACCACACAGGAGTTGGTGACTGGCATCCAAACAGATTAAAAAAGGACTTTACTTTCTGGCATTTTTGAGTCTTTTGCATTTTTATCTTACTTTGAGAATTTTGTACCATCATCTAAACGGCCTCAGTCAATGAATCAGATGCTCTTTCATGAGTGAAGATTAAAGGACATTTTCAACATTATAGGATGAAGACAACAACTCCAAATAGGATTTTTTGGGGGGGGGGGGGGGGGGGGGGGGTGACGGACGGGACGACGACAGAGATTTACTTAATTCATGAAAGCACAGGGCATTTTCAAACCAATTAAAGACCAAGTTCACTTTTTTTCTACACATCTGCACTGCTCTAGTATAAATGACTGGCTTGTGAGGGGGAAAAAAGCCCTGGCGCTCCTGGTTCAGGAAGCAGAAGTTAGCCAGAGAAGAGGTGAGCAGAAAACGGCAGGATTGGGAGTCTTACTTCCTGATATTTGGACATCTCTCCATTGATTGGCTAACAGCAATGCAACTCTGCCACTGACTCTTGTTTGCTCTGCAACGTTGATTTGTCTCCACAAATGACACAAGCCTGGAGGAGTTCTACTGTGTGGTAGAGCTACTAATGCTAACAATTAGCTTCTACCGGCTGAGACGTTCTCTACCATTTCCTGGACGAGTTCTGGAGGAGCTACTAATGCTAACGATTAGCTTCTACCAGCTGAGACGTTCTCTACCGTTTCCTGGACAAGTTCTGGAGGAGTTCTACTGTATGGTAGAGCTAAAAATGCTAACAATTAGCTTCTATCTGTTGAGACGTTCTCTACGGTTTCCTGGACGAGTTCTGGAGGAGTTCTACTGTGTGGTGGAGCTGCTAATACTAACGGTGCACGTTAATTTTCAGTGTGAATTTGATCTCTCTTTTGTAATCCCAGTGTTTCCCCGTCAATTTCCCATCTATGGAAGACGATTTTCACACCCAGCCTGCTTGTGAATCCCAGAGTGACCAATCATATTTAAAAAATAATAACTTGGCCTTTAAATTAGTTTAAGGACTATGGATGATCTGAAGACACCTGAAGAGGTCAGGGCAACAAGCACAAGGAGGAACTGTCTGCTGACGATGATAACTGAAAGGTGATGACGTGACGTAACCAATAAAGCCAGGAATAACACCAGAAATCTCACCTAACACAGCGGTAGGAACCAGAGGATCGTTGGGCACTGGAGAAGGAAACAAGTAGCAGAAATATTTCTAAAATGCAGATTTTTGAACATTCAAGAAGACAAAATTATTCCCTTGTTCTCCTTTTGAAATCGTCATGTAACCATTCAATTACTGTTGGGATGGAGCTCAAAAGTTTGGGTTATTTCCTGATGTTGAAATGAGGGAAACATTTGAACCTACATCTGTTGTTATAGTTGTGAGAGTCCATGAAAGTGACAGCCATGGGGTCTTCTCCATGCAGAGTGCTCTGGTCAGCGTAGCTGCGGTCCATCGCGTTCACCATGTGCGTCATTTCCTGCCTCGTCGTCCCAATAACGTCTTTTCGTTTTTTCGCCAGTTTCCTGTTAAGAGCACATAAAGACACATTCAGGCAACGCACACACACACAAAACGTCCAACAAGCCTGCAGACCACAGCCTAGAGAGGGATTTTACATATTTCTTTCATCTCAGGCTGGGGTCTGCTCAACAACAATGAAGAGCTTAGAAGAAAGGTAGAAAGCAGAAAGATGCTAGGAAGGAAAGAGGACAGAACGAGCAAGGACAGCGGGAGGTGTAGCAAGGAGGGCCATAAAGGAAAGAGCAAACCGAGTGTCGTTAACCAACAAGACGCTGTCAAATGAACATTTTAAGTGCCATCTCCAAATAACTTTTAGTTTTTCTCAACATCATTGAATGCATTACACATATCATCAAAACTACTTTAATTAAAGGTGCAACATGTAAGAACGAAGTAAGACTGACATCCTGTGGTCAAATTTGGGTTCTGCAGACGTTTTATTAAGCAAAAATATTACTATCTAATTGTTGTGCCATGAATTTATTTACATCATCATATCTGGTGTTAGCACTCTTGTGTGTTTTATTGTAGGGATCACTTACTACACTTATTACAGTAATATCTATCAGGCATTAGAGGAAGTGTGATTGTTCATCTTGCTGTTAGCTTGCTGTTATAGTTCTGAACGACTCATTAAAGGAAGTAAAACGCAACAATTGACTCTTTATTCATTTCACACACACATTTCACTGAAATATCCAGTTCTTTGTCACAGAAAAAGTAGCTTGAGATATTTTTAGAGTCGACTAGTTGCTTCTACTTCACCATTAGCATTGTTAGCTCAATGTTAGCCTCTAGCCTGCTTCACCTGACAGAGTAAGAAATAACTTCTGGTTTGCTACTGTTTACTGGCTTTGGTTCTTTAAACAACACTGGAGCTTCTTGCCTGCTGGTGAGTTATAACAAATGCTGGTGCTGCAGAGGTAGCTTGGTGCAGACTTGGAAATCGTGCAGGCTCACAGACCGTAGGCAGTAACTGCGTCCATTTTTAGATTTTCTGAAAGGAGGAAAACTGACAAACCCCCAGCTGACTGAGAAGGATAGTTTCATTGTAACCTTCCTTCCAACGCGATAGACACATTAGCCTGTTTTGTGATTATTTTACTGTAGAATTTTTACACATTGCTCCTTTAAAAAAGCAGGAATCAACTAAGTCTTTTATCTCCATCTGACAACAAAAACAGGTAAAACCCCAAAGAAAAAACACAAAGCAGACTAAAGAAACACTTAACCAATCAGAAGGCTTTTTTTGTGAGCAACAGGGTATTGTACTAAGCATTGTGAGAAACTGAGATCCAGATTTGTTTTTCTTTTCATTTTTTTCACACATCATAAAATGTGGAATTCATTTGTCGCTGCGTCTCAGGACAGTAACAGTCAGAGCAAACAAGATAATTATCTTCCAGGAGATAGCATCTTGAAACTAATGCATCACAGGATTCTTCTAGGAGTGTTTAATCAGTAATAATCCAGAGGGAATCATTTTACAGGACTTCATGTGCTGAGCATGACGGAGCATGCAGGAACGCCGTTTACCCAGAGCTGTACGTGCATCAGATTAAACATCAGCTCCACCAATTAGCAAGCTACTCCACTTAACTTTGAGCATGAATCTTTTGAATGTGACACGTTAAAAAGATTGAGTTTACTTAAAGAAATGCAAACAATAATTGTGTCAGTCCTGCGTATTGCTGTAAGAATATCATGTTAAAGCTATCAGTGCGGCCACTAAAAGTGTCCCGTGGAGCAGAGGCCAATGAACATTCAGAAGTAAGGCTGTTTTGATTTAAACTAATTTATTTGAGATAGTTTTCAAACTGATGCAAAATACAGCTCTGATTTCTGCCTAGGAACCAACCAGGAAGCATGCTGTTTTTATTTTACCTCTTGACCTCAGTGATCGCACACAAGACACGTCTGGTTATTTGTGTTTGATCATGTGACATGAGAATGAAAAATACAAGAGAGAAGAACCTTGTACAGCAGCTAGAGGACTATCTTTAGTTTTTACTGCAACACAAATTAAGATTGACGACTCAAATCGGACCATAATTAGATTTTAAGCTGTTTCAACCTGAACATAAAAATTCAAACTGTTGATTAAATTATGCTTTAGAAATACGTGTGTAACGTGAATGCGAAACAGTTTATTCGATGTAAAAAATCTAAACATGAACAGTTCATGTACAATACATTTTAAAAGGTAAACAAATTGTAGGCATAAATCTAAATTTTGGTTAAACACACCTGTAAAAGTGGTTTGTAATGGTTGAACGTTTACAGGTTAAGACATTTAACCTGATATAGTGATAGTAAACAATAAAATTGCTCTTTAATCCTTCATCGCTGATATCGTAGATTTTGGAGGAAAGTACTAATCCTGTTAAAGAGGTTGAGCTTTTACATTGAATCATAGATTTTACTTTGCCCAATTAATTTTAGAGCCTGTTTGAATTTGATGTAGGGAATAAAATACACTCCACCACGTGGCTGACTGCCAGTTTCAGGGTTTGGTGTAAAATAACTGACTCAATACCAATTTTGGTCTCAGATAATAAAGAGCAGAGAGCAAAGAACCCACAACCGAAGAAGAAAATCCGCCAACACAAAAACCAAAAGTCCCCCAAAAGGAAACCGATCTGAATCGATTCTTATAAAAATTCCAATAATTCAATTGGATCTTATCGTAAGTCTAAAAGTACCTGTCCTGAAACCATTTAACAAAGTTTGCCTCCTTTTTTACAGCTAAAATAGGAAGAAGTCCAGTGTTGAACGTTTTTGATAGCACTGACCCAGCTCAGAATCCTATTGAAACAGATTGAATTGGATCATGATGACCAATTCTAACGCTTGAGGATCTGACTCGAATCGATTCTTGGTGTTTGAACCCAGCTCTGCTCAGATCCACCACAGAGTTTCACCGTGATACCTGTGACTTGATGGGCAGATGGATGATCACATGACTACATGCACACAAAGAGCTACAAGTCACAAGTGCAGCATTCTTTTTTCAAATAACACACTCAGGCCAGTGCTGTTCCACTCTTGGCCTGCTTGGTTCTGGTTGGTGGCCGACTCGGGCCTTTAGGAGTCTGCTTCAGAGCTACTTTGGAGCATGTAGAGGACGTCAGGGCCGGGGTCAATTCCCAATCAGTTCTTTACACAAACTCTGTCGCTCGGATTACTTTACACACAACCGTGATCTGTAAGAAGCTGTTTGTGGGAGCTGAAAGTCTTAAACAAACAAAAACAAATGGCTGAAATCCTGAAATGACTGGTATGAAAGCGAACTGACCCCCACCCTGGCAAGGCGTCAATGAGGATGGCTTTGGCTGGTTAGTCAGAGCTGACGATGTGTTTTATCTTGAAAAAAGTATACTGCATCTTTAAAAATAACAACAGCTAGCCACTAAGAATTTGCCCAATAAGGTAACAGCAGCTGGGTGAGCTGGTTGTTGATTGGTCGTTTACTTACAGGTAATAAGAGTATGAATAGTAGGTCCTCCTGGGGTTGTGAGCCAATCAGAGAGCAAAGAATGAGACACAAGGGAATATGCAAATTAGGACAATTCTGTCCTGTCTCAGCCAGTGAACAGAAACAGAAGAAAACACCCTTTGACCTCTAAACTGGAGTTCATGCAGGGGGTGTCGTAACGTCACAGCTATGGACCGTTCAGCAGCAAAACAACCAAACCTACAACTACAGGGAGCTATGAGTATCAGCCTATCAGCATGCAGCCTTCCTCTCTTATTTTTTAAGAGTAAATAAAAACATTCATGCAATATTTGATAGCCCTGATTTTAGCCTCAAGTCAGCCAATGAGCTTCGTTCTTCTCTCCTATAAATGATCGGACAAAACTGCCGCAGAGCTATCCAATCAATAACACGGGGCAGCTCATTTCCTGAAAAGCAAGCATGATGTCACTGCAATGTCATCATGTCCCACCATTTTAAAGATGCAGTATTGTTCCGTGTCGTAAAAATTTTAATGGAAATGAAAATTGATCTCCCCAGAAACTTTTATGGAGCAAAAACAACAAAAACACATAAAATGTGTCATTCAAAAAACGACATCAGCTATTGAATACCAGATTTGTGTAAAAAATAAATAAATAAATAAACAGTGCTCAAAGGGAAATGAAAGGTCTACATCACTTATACATTTGCAGTGGTCTCTAGTAAGAACGAATGCCTTGTAAGTCGTACTCTGGGGGACAAAAACACCTGTTTAAGGAACTAGAAATGAGCCACACCAGAGCTGAGCTTCAGACGGCAGGTGTTGGGAGTCTTACTTCCTGATATTCAGACATCTCTCCTCTGACTGGCTAACAGCAACATGACTCTACCACTGACTCTGTTTGCTCAGTAATGATGTTTTATCTCCACTAACAACACAAGCCTGGAGGAGTTCGGCTGTGTGGTGGAGTTGCTAATGCTAACAGTTAGCTTCTACTAACTAAGAAGTTCTCTGCTGTTTCCTGGACGCTAACCCAAAAACAGCTTTCCACGTCGTGAGTCAAGATGGGTGAGTCCATGAATGTTAAGTGACAGTGTGACGTAGATCTGTCAGGATTTTCTAATCCTAGAGTTTCACCGTCTGTTTTCTATCAGAATCTAACACAAGAGATAGGTGTAGGAGACTAGTTTCATGTTCAGCCTGCACGAAAAACTCAGAGCGACCCGTTAGGATCAGAAATAATCATTGAAATGGTTTTTCAGTTGAGTTTAATCTCAAACTAGACGAAGCAAATAGCTGAGTGCTCCTAACCCTGTCATGAGAGGATTAGTGATGCTCAACAAGAATTTTGGTCAGAATTTAAAATAGAACCTAATCAAATTTTAACTACAAAATCAAATGAATAAAAAATATTATAAAAAAGAAAAACTAAACCTGCCCAGATACATAAAAAGTGATGCATGACGGCAGGCTTGTTTAGATTCATTAACCTCATTAGAATAAAAAAAGAGGATGGGTTCACTAAGAGGAAAGTTCTCTAATGACGAGAGGTCATTACGCCCTGTATTTTAATGTCTAATTGTTTTTAATTTGCTGAGTGAGATGGCGATTGGTTATAATTAAGAGAGTCTATTCCCGGTTTGGTCTCTCTAGTCTGTGAAAAACACACGCTTCATTATTCAGAAGCTGCTGAAGCGCATGAATCATAAACCTATTTTCTCCTCCCTGAAAACACGATTTTAACCAACAGATCAGAAGGAAAGCATGTTAAATATTTGTGTAACTTAAAATATGAATACACACGTAAATGCACTCAACATGAAACAGAACCGCTGTAGTCCACCACCAGAAGAGCAAAACAAGCGGAGCTTGAAGATATTATTCTTATTTTTCATAAAAATCTTTCATTCAGTTAAAAACCTGATTATCGTCTCTTTTTTTTACGGGATTTCCTTACAGAATTGTTTTCCAACAAAATAAAGCTTTATCTCCTCAAAAGGTCTGCTTCAGATTAAAATGGTCTTCTTCAGCTGCAGAAGCATGTATCCACCACCTGATGGAGCTCTGAACCAGATGAACACCAAACTGCGGGACCACCGGCAGGATCTGGCTCTCAGAGCTTTTTGATTATAGAAGTAAAAAGTTCAAGCATGGATATTTTTTCTTAAAAAATTGTAAACCCAAAAAAAGTCTGTTTCATCATAATTGAACAGAGCTACATTGATTTCTGTTTGCAAAATCAAACCTTTGTTTGGTAAAAACTGCATTACTCAACATTATTTTGTGATAAAAAAAGCTGTTTGGAAAAATTTACCAACTGTTTCCACGGGGAGATCAATATTTCTGGTGGATGGATGGAAGATGATGCAACATGTACTGGATTAACACACAACCAGAAAATTATTGGAGGTTCACACTTGTATTTGTTGCGTTTGTCGTCTCCTAAATCTCCATCAGGCCGGTTTAATGGGTGTTTTTGGGGTTGGGGGGCTGCCACTCACCTTTTCTTGACCAACAGGATCGCTACCAGCACCAGCAGAATGAAAACAAGAACCCCGGCACTAATCCCAGCTATTTTCACCACACGGTCTGTCTGCTTGGCAGGGTCGGGGATGACTTCAGGTTCCTCTGTAGCACCTGTGGAAATGAAAATCAAACTATATTAATGAGTAAACGTGAATAAACAGACACAAATATATACTTTTACGTAAAACAAGTCTCAATTAGTACATTTTTAAAAAGCAAAAAATAAAAGTCATTATAGAAATTGTTCCATGCATATTTACATCCTACGATCTTATTTATCTCCGTAAAATTTTATTTATGACCTCATCATTGCTTTTTTCCGAATGGCAGACCAAAACAAAAATTTATTCTAAAACCTATAAAATGTCTGAGGGCTGTAGGCTGGTTCTTCGCTCCAAAGCTCTCCATTATGGAGTCCCCCAGGGTTATAGTTTAGGGCTACCTTTCTTTGTCATTCTGTACATGAATTACTTTGCTAACTCCTCATAATTCTGCATAAAAATTTTCATTTTAAATATGCAAAAGCAACATTCTCTTTTTAAATTTTATGCAGATTCAATATTTTGACACGATCATTGATCTTGTAACGCAACATCTATAAACAGTCCTTTCAGGGTACAAAAAAAGAAGAAAAAAGCCTAATCAAACAACATGAAGTATTAGAGGAAGGAAGCCATGTTTGTCTCTTCTACTGTTGAATCTAAAATGGTCACATAGTTATGTTTGATGTACTAAACCACTTAACTCTGCACAAAAACTAACATTTCTCAGCAAAAACCTTCGACTCTGTAAACTCAAACAAGAAAAAGTACACGTTTGTTTTATTCTTTCTGCATATTTGAGCTCATCAATGGCCTCCATCTCTCTCTGGGTTTGATTTTCAAATGCAATTTGACATTTGCTGTCAAATGTTTCTGCGCCAACGCCACCGTTTACTCCTTGTAGTCAAACTCATTTCTCCTCCTGATGACTTGAGAGAATTGACTGAACTCCCAGACTTTGACTGTTTGGATTATAATTCATCAATGACGTTCCAAGCAGAGTGCGGAGCGTACGGTAGTTTGAACCCAGCTCACCGGGGACGGCGGTTTCCAGCCTCCAAAAGCTCTACTTAGTCAATTGATTTCAGGCAAGCAGAATTATTTCATACGCTGAACATTAAGATGTATTATGATAAGCTAGATAATCCTACTGCAAAACATATGTGCAAAACTCAACGGAACGTAATGCATCTATTGGACAATAATCTGCTTTAAAAGATGGATGTCAACAAGGCAGAATAATCCCAGTTGCCTCTATTTGTCTCATATTTGTGAATTTATGAATGTTTTTGCTATTAAAATACGACCTTATGTAACACCAAAACACCGGACTCTGTGTTGAGGGATAAATATAAAACGACCATTACATTTTAACTCAGCGGTGCTTTTATTTTCTCATCACCAATGAGAAAATAAATGATTCTGTTTAATAACTATAACTCTTAATTAGTAGGTGACCCCCCCCCCCCCCCCCCCAAAAAAAAAGGCCAGATATGAGTGTTGATGACAGGAAAGACCTGAGAGGACAGATTTATGGGTGTCTTTAATTATCTAATTTGATTTATTGATAAATTGTTAATAGCATAATTATTTTTCCCTATTAAATGTAAATATTATACTATTAATGATGCTTTTGGCACCATTTTGAGTTTTCCCCTAAACATTACAACATTATGGGCTACACGTGGTGCAGAGGGTCTGATTCCCGACCTGGGGGCTTGTTTGCATGTTCTTGTGCATTTGCGGGTTTTCTCTGGGCACTCTGGCTTCCTCCCACAGTCCAAAAACACGACTGTTTAATTTGTCCAGGGTGTGCCCCGCCTGTTCGCCCGAAAACTGCAAGAGACAGGCGCCCGCCCCCGTGACCCTGCATGGATAAGTGGGTATAGATAACAGATGGATGGCCATAAAAAAATGTTCTAATCAATAACTCAACAAAATGAGATTAAAAGTGTTTGTGTGGAGTGGATCTAACATTTTATCCTCATTTCAGAGTTTTGGAGCTTGAGGTGGCTCACTGCATGATCAGTGAAACGTTTAAAATTCAGAATTTGCTCCAGAGGATGTGTCGAGTTTACGAATCTTGATGGAACGTCTGTTCATTTATCACCACGAATAACAAGAACCAGAAAAATAAACAACATTCAACAAAGTAATGAAATGAAAATCCTTCAAAGGTTTTACAACTTGACCTCATAACGTCGGCTCTTAATGCCTGTAAAGATGATTCAGGTCAGCACACACACACACACACACAACTCCCTGAGGCGACAATGACAATACACAATACCCCAGATGACCTAATAGGACCACCACCACTTAATCCTCCCCCCTGGATGCACGCTTCACTGAACACACATGCAGAGAAACAGAGGAGACGGTCCTCCAGTCTCTCTGTCCATTACTTTGGTCTTTTCTAATATTACACACTGTTAGCACAAACCTAATACTCTCTAATGTCTCTCAGCATCCCTCAGACCTCCTTAAGCTACACGGGAAGAGCGTCAGCTTGTATTTACCGCCAAGCGGCAACCTGTTCTGGTGACAACAGCTGCGAGCAATTCTTGAAATATGATGATCCCAGAAAGTTCCCATTTCCTCTCATTCCGGTGTGGAATTATGACTCCTTACAGGCATTGGTGGGTCCAAACCAGACCTCTGATCGATCTAAGAATCAGATTTCTTATGAATCCAGAAGCTCATGTATGCTGCCACTTTGAGTGAACTCTCCCCAAACGCATATGTTGGGTGACAAAACTCTCGGGCCAACCCTTAGAAAAGAATAGAGAGAATCTGCTTTCCTTCCATATGAATTAATCATCATGAATATTTGGAGCAAACATTATCTGTTGCATGCCTTTGAAGGTACATGAAGTAAGAATGACACCTTGTGGTCAAACTTGGGTACTGCAGCCTACGTTCTAAAACAAACAAGTGAGCTCTGAGCAGCTGCTGCCAGCTACAGATCAGCACCAGAAGATGCCGTCAGGGTTAGACAACTGAGGACGAGTCCTACTCAGTAAGTTGATAAGTAGATAAATACAGTTCACTGTAACATCCAGTTGTTTCCAAGGGTCGACCTGAAAAGAGTTTTGGGGCGGCAGCAGCTCAACAGGTAGAGCGGGTTGTACAGTAATCGGAGGGTTGCAGGTTTGATCCCGGCTCCAGACGGAGAACTCCTGCCTGCTGGTGGTGGTCGGAAGGACCGGAGGCGCCGGTGCTTGCTGGCAGCCTCACCTCCATCAGGGCGCCCTGGGGCAGCTGTGGCTACATCATAGCTCATCACCATTAGTGTGTGAATGTGTGTGTGAGTAGATGAATGATACACTAGTGTAAAGCGCTTTGGAGTCCTCTGACTCTGAACGGCGCTATACAAGCGGGTCATTTATCATTTTCCTTTATTTGCTGGTGGTTGTAAAAGTAGCTTGAGATATTTTTAGAGCTTCTAATTAGCCATTAGCATTGTTAGCTGAGTGTTAGCTGATATTAGAGTAAAACAAAAATTATTTTGCTTCTGGGTCACTCCTTTTACTGATTTCCATTCTTTCCACAAGGCTGCAGCGTTTTTCCCAAACTGGTGCAGACTTGGTTTTTCCCAAACTGGTGCAGACTTGGCAACCCATGCAGACTCAAATACGATTGGCTCTGAAACTGGGAAGTATGGAGGCGGGACAAGACTCAAGACAACTTTTTTAGTCCCCGAGGGGCAATTCGAGACAGCATTGTGAAGCAGCCGGCACTAATATCTCTAAATTCTAAAAACACATCCAATTTACACATTTGTAAAACCCATAAAACCTATAAACACATTCATGTCATATCATATCCTCAGACTGTGAACAATAACTACGTCCCTCTTTAGCCAACTGAGAAACTGTTTTCATGTAACCTTCCTTCCTCGTTTTGTGATGATTTCATCGTAAAATTCTTGCTTATTGTGCCTTTAATAATTATACCTAAAAATATGAATGAAATTTAAACAATACAGGTGGAATAGTGAATAATTTTACAACTTTCACCTGTTTGTTTGCATATATTTTACATTTGTGATCAAATGAAAAACACAAAGTCTTTTCTGTCCTGCTTAACTCAACATGTTGGATCGTCAGTTTCATTGAAATTATGATCATATTTTACTGATTATCCTTGTTCTGAATCCACACAGCTAAACCCTGATCCATCAGCCCCTTTTACAATAAACAAAACAGTGTGTATATGTGTGTGTGTGTCTGTGTGTGTGCGCGCGCAAGTGTGTGTGTGTGTGCCAAAGGATTAACTCCACATCATAAAACCTGTCTAATAATTTGTCAACATATGGCCACTGGCGAAAGACTGATATTTAGTGTGAGCATGCGTGTGCACATCCTGTGCGCGCACACACACACACACTCAAGGTGCACACATAACACAGATGTGTTTTGTTGCTTTGACTTGCACTAATATTGTTATTTCTAATTCTCTCACAGCAGGATGCAACACTCTCCAATAAACACACCCTGCACTGCAGCATCAAACATTTGTGGAGCATCAAAATAAAACAACGTGAAATAAACACATCTGAGCAATAATATAAACATTTACTTAGATATTTTTCTCAGATTTTTACCATTTGTGCTGTAATGAATCCTAGTTTGGGTTATAAAAGAGAGTTTCTTACGTTTAGCTGCTAGCCTCAGACACTGCGTCTTAGTTTCCTGCAAAAAGAACAAAATCAAAGATATCAGGAAGATTCCTCAACAGACCACAGCTCTATAAAAACTGCTCATTTGTTATGCGTGAAATTAATCGGAGTCTCTCTTAGTCTGAAGCTCAAAGCAGCTTAGAGAAGTTAGCTGACTGAATACATCTATATTTACCCTCTCTGTGCTGCTAACAGCTTGAAGGTAGATATTGTAGTTCTTCCTTGGAGCCAGCGGAGGATTCCAGAAACCCTGAGGAGCAACAGACATAATCACTCAGCTTGAACCAGGGAAAACCCAAAAGCCTGTGTCTGTTAGCGACGGGTAGATTTAGAGCTGCTGGGCCATTTTCTCTCGGCCTTTTGCTGACTCTGCTCACTCATACGGCTCTTACTTACATTTTAGCTGAGTACAAAATTTGTTCCTAAATCCCCGTAGTTTCAGATCCTGGCCTTCCTTCTCTTTCTCACTTACAGATCCATTCTTCTTTTCTTCTTCCGTTCCTCGTCCCTACCTACCTCTTTGCTTCCTACAATCTGAGCCCTGCTTCTGCCCCGAATCTTGTGTCGAAAATCAAACTCCGTGCAGAAGCTAATGCAGGAGATAGGCGTAGGAGTTCATGTTCAGCATGCATGAAAAAACCGATTATAACCAGAAATAATCATTTTAAATGTTTTTCCAGTGTTCCACACCTTTGCATTTGCATGCTATACGAAGACTATATTAACATGAATGTACTTGCCTGATATGTCTTGTTGTCTCCCACAGTGAAAGGAACAGGCTCGAGCAGATTGCTGGGGGAGAGCTGGGCAGCATAATAATATGGAGAACCACCACTCGATGCACTGTGGAAGGACACTGGAACCTGGGGACGTTAGAGGGAAAATGTCCATAAGTCAAGTAGAAATACAACCAATTCAGCTCATTTTATCTGTATTTTACAGCAAATTGTCTGCAAAAAGTCAGGTAATTTGTTTACATATTCAGCCATATTGATGCGTGCAAAATCTTCAAATCTGACTTTTTAATTTACGTTAGCAAACATATGCATATCTGGCTTGTTTTTCCTACGTGGAAGTTGAAATAATCACCTCATAACAATCAGAGGAAGCCTGGCGTCGTGCTCGCTGAGGATTCACCTCCTCCACAACAATCTGGTATGCACTACACACAGAGAGACCACGCTTTACACGTTTAATTTCACAGTAATTAGTCGTAAATCTGTGTGACACTAACATACCTTATAGGCGCTCCTTTGGCCTGAGCAGGTTTGAGCAGGACGGTGATCGTTGTTGCCGTTTCATTTAGAAAGGCCTCTGACACGTCGTACTCATCGATCGTCGGCGCTAAAGAGAACAGAAGAGTCGTCATCCGGCGACCTAACCGTCGTGCTACGGGTATAAAATACTGAAACTCGTCTTCTACCTGAGATGTTGGTGGTCACGTTGAGTGTAGCTGCCGACCCAAACCCTTTGGAGGTAGATGCTCGTATGGACAGCTGGTAGGTGACACCTGGGTGGAGCTGGGAAAATGTGTAATGGGTGGCGTTTGAAGGTAAAGACACGGTGAGTACTGGCCGCTGCAGAGGCACTGAGGGGTCAAAGGAGCGCACACCGATGTAGCTGATCTGAAGGGATGTAGAGGGAAACATAAACCAGTTTTGAAGATTAAGCCGAAGGGGCATGTTGGTTGTTTGGCGTCCATAGCCAATCCCACTGTACCTCATATTGTGTGATGAGTCCATTGGGCTCAGCTGGCTCCTTCCAGTAAAGGCTGATTGTCTCTTCGGATGGAGTGGCTCTAAATGACTGAGTGGGAACAGGACCTGGAACTGTTAACATAAACAAAGACACACAATCAATAAAGATGATAAAGATCTGGCAGGGCTAAACCTGCAGCATAAAGACTGACTCTTATTTTTGAAGTAACACTAAGTTTTTTTAAACTTTAAAGGGATGCCCCCCCCCCCTCGGCCCTCTTGCTTCTGGGTCTTTTTTGTGTGTGGCCCTCGGACCATTATAATTGAGCACCCCTGCTATAGGGCATGTTGTGGTCTGTGGGGAAAACCGGAGTACTCGGAGGTAACCCACGCATGCATGGAGAGAACAAGAAACTCTACGCAGAAAGACCACAGCCGGGTTTTGAACCTGCAACCTTTTTGCTGTGAGGCAACAGAGCTAACAACTGCATCACCATTAGTTGGCATCATGGCGGAGCCTGGAAGTGAAATAAGAAAGTAATGTCTTTGGAGGTGAAGCATAGAGCTAAGATCAGAGTGAACATCGGCATGGCCTAGGCTAGCTAAAGGGAACTAAAGGAGGCTGCAGAATCTCGGACTGATGGTGATCTGACTTTGTTGCTATTGGACTTGTATGTACTATAATTTTTGTCCAACCATGTGGATTTTTTTACCATGTGGCTTATTTCAGTATTAGTTGGCTCATGCTAGTTTTCGCTCATTGTTAGCACTAGCTACAGCAGGTTTTTTTATGACAATTGTAATTCCACCAGTAGGGCGGAGGAGCAGGAAACTGCCAAGTGTTATTTGAACCACTCATTTTGAGAAGTTTGAAAGGAAAACAACGAGAATGTATGCTGCTGGTATGTCTCACCATCCTCATCAGTTTGAATGATGGTTTCATCGCTCTCTTTCCGCCCCTCTGGATTGGTCAGAATCATCTTTAGACTGACGTTGGTGTAGGGAGGCAGGTTTCCCACCAGGTGGCGTGGTGCTGGAAGAAAACAAACAAAACAATGAAAACTAATAGTTAAATTGTCTAACAAGAATCTATTTTCATTGTATTTACTGGAAATCTAAGAGTAAGTATTAAAATACAAGCTCTAAAATCTGATCTGTCATGAAAATGTCTAAAACTTAAAGTTAAAGTGTGTTTTTGAACTTCAGATGGAGTTTAGACCAAATAGTTGTGACTATTAGTGATCACACGTGTTATTGACACTTCAGTTTCACAAATACACTTATCAAAGTCCATCAAAACAACTGCTGAAAGTAAATGTACGTATTGCTCGTTTTAAACACTTGTACTGTATTAAATCCAATACTGTATTAAATACTGTACACAATACTTCATAATTACTTGTAGTCACACATCCTAGGTGAGAGTAATATGTTGCTGCTACCTTTAGGATCCATATCCAAGCAGTCAGCTTTGCTGCGGTTGCTGGCAGTCATGTAATGGTAACAGATCGTCACGTTAAAGGTGTGACAGCGAGTGATGTTGTAACCCAGAGACTCCCAGTCCACCGCGATCAAACGAGATCTGGTTTCAGCAATCTTCAGTCTCTTAGGAGTACGCATGGGCTCTGTGAAGAGAAGAAGAAGAAGTTTTTTACAGTGAGCATCAAGTCAACACATCTGTAGCGGTCTCAAGGACCAATAAATGCATCGTGAGTCCTTTTCTGTGGAAGAAAAGCTGTTCCAGGAAGTGGAAGTTAACTGGGGGAACAAAGAAGATGGCACCCATTAGTATTCATGATATGCAAACACCTTGCCTCTGGTTGGCTAAAAGCAATGCAACTCTTCCGCTGCCTTCGTTTGCACTTCTTTCTTGGGTAAAAACATACAACACTGATGATTTATCTCCACAAATAACGCAAGCCTGAAGAAGTTCTGCCGTCTACTAGCAGAGACCTGCTCTGCTCTCTCCTGATTGCTAAATCAACGACAGCCTTCTGCGCTTGCACCCCAAGATGAGCGAATCCGTAAATGCAAATTTACAGTGTGACATAGATTGGTGTGGCGTTCCTGACCCGAGCATTTCCTCGTCTGTTTTCCTTTGTTGGCTAATGTGAAATTCGTGCTAGAAGGCTGTTTTCACATTTCGCTCAAAATGAGAAGCATTAGGTTTCTCAGCGAACCTTTGTTTTAAATATATGGGAGAATAAATAAATGATAACCAAACGTGTTTTTCTGTAGGACTGTAATAAAACTGAATGTGAAATCTCGTAAACTTCAAAATTTTCTGAGCTTAGTGAATGTGAAGCAAACGTTCTTGCCAAAAACGATCCGGAGAGCAGAGCCAACTTTTCCCCAAGATGAAACCACTGAGTTTTAACAAACACTCGTTCTCCGAGCTGCCAGTCAGCCATTTCTCTAAAGCTGCAACTTCCACAAGGCTCCATCTTTGGGCTCCATCTTCCATGTGTATTCAGATGCTTATTGTCAATAAAATCTACTCTCCTCCCTCGCTGCCCTGGCGCCTCATTTATCAAGCTTGCTTACGCACAAAACGGGGTCTGAAAAATGTGTAAGCAACTTTCCACGCAAACTTTGGGATTTATCAAAGAAAACTTAGCGGAAAAAACGTGCGCAACTTTGAGTTGACTAAAGACCTGGCTTATGCACATTTTGGACATGGAGAGCACCTGCAGTGCTGCTGCTGAGAAGGATAAAATTATGAACTCCAGCAGCATTATCACTTGTACTGCTTTGTTTTCACACAGAACAAGACCCCCCACATGCACACACACGCGCACGCACACCCACACACAGCCTGAAGCGCAGAATATGGAATGCAGAATATCAGCAGGGGGACAGACTGAGACAGAATGTCATGCGTCTGTGACAGTGTGTGTCCTGTCACTGTGACCTGATTGATCATGCGCCCTGGCTACTTGTACAGGGGAGATCTCCATTTGGCTGACTGGTTAGCGCACGTTACTTACACCTGGGAGTCTGGGGATCAAATCCTGATTGGACCATTTTTTATATCCGCCAGATCTCTCTGAAGAATTCACAACATTGACGGCTTCAGCAACGCTGCGCCACTCCGTGGATTTTCTCTTATTTGTTTGGCACTTCCTTTCATTTCTCCACCTCACCCACAAGTACCTCAACTTCTGCTTCTGTGAAATAGCGCTTCCTTGATCTGCCTTGATCTAAAGTCGCCATCGTCATTGGCGGAGCGTTGCAACAGCCAGCTTATGTATATGCATGAGATCCACAAGGCACTTTGCATTGACTATTTATGGCAGTAAGTGGGCGTGGTGAGGACGGGATGTGACTAAAATGCAGCTGAGAAACATTCTCGTTAGTCTCTGATTTATGAAGCGGAGATTGCGTGCAGCTGTGCGTACTCCGTGTTTGATAGATCCCAAACCTACATGGCGTAAGTACATTATTTTTTTTGCTGAGCTTAAGTACGGTTTTAGTAAGGATTCTACGCAATGTTTGATAAATGAGACCCCTGGGCTTTAATTACCGTAACTGGCCCATTTAGCTGAACAATAACCCCGTAGTTCTAACACACACACACACACACACACACACACACACACACACACACACACACACACACACACACACACACACACACACACACACACACACACACACACATACATACATACACTAAACCGTGCCGTTTCTCATCTGTTGTTGCTCACACTAGGGCTGTCGCGGTTGAGGAATTCCCCCTGCGGTGATTCAGGGTGGCTTAATATTGCGGTGTGCGATATTATTGCAGCCCTTTTTTTTATTGCAGTACTATCTAAACATAATGTTTACACATTTAAAAAAGGTTAAAAATTGCCGTGCCTTCTTTTATAACACTTTACTGAATGCAGATCAAAGGGCAGTAACAACACAGATCGCAGTAACGTTTGTTTCTCCGACAGTCGGAGTCCGACTGAACTTAAAAACAACAAAATTCAGGAGGTTAAACTTTTAAATGCAAATTTGGCTGCAGCATCTAACAAATAAGAAACAAGTCCCCATTTTGTTTAGTTGTTTAAAATCAAGCATAAAAAATTACATGTACCGGGCGCGCGCGTGCCGGGGCGCGCGCACTATCATTTCACTTTCACACACACGAATGACGGTGATTTATAGCTCGGTCACGTCCTTGTTACCTACAAGGAAAACCAGCATGTTAACCATATACGGTTTGAGAGAGGATCTGAGAGGGGTGGCAACATTTCCAGCAACACTGAAAACCCTCTCGGATGGTGCGCTCGTTGCACGCACACGTACCTGCGTGCGACTCTGGCGAGCAAAGGGAATCTCTCCCGGTTGTTGCTCCACCGTGTCAGGGGGGTTTCTTTAGGGTGGATGCATTCCTCCTGCAGGTAGCGAGTGAGCTCCAGCTCGGCTCAAACTCTCTTCAGGACGGTTGCAGAAGCAGTGCTTGTCCGGGACTTCAGCAGGTCTCCGAGCGTTTATTTATTTATTTTTTTGCCGCTGGTGGCAGCTCTGTCTCGGCCAAGGACCCTGGCTGCGCAGCAGCTGACGTACTGAAAACCAAAGTGCTCCCAAAGGAGCGAAGTAACGTTTCGTTTTGATACCAGTGCAGCCATCCTTCTCAACATGCATCATTGAGTTGAACCAAGTTCAGTAATCGCGGTGGCCCATGATGCAGCGCGGTGGGCTTCTTCATATTGCGATATTTCATTTTTGCGGTTACCGCGACAGCCCTAGCTCACACAGATATTTTCCAAACGTCCACCTTTCCTTCTCCAAACGTTCACCAGCTGGAGCCACCTTTTACAGAAGAAGACCATGTCCACACTTTTATGTCGACCTGCAGAAGCCATTATCTGGAGGATCTACCAGTCATCACTAGGTCGGGGACCACTTCTCAGACCAGAGAAGATGCAACTCCATCAACGACAACATAATTAGCTCTGAAAAGCTTTCCCCACTCAGACAGCAGTGACCACTTGATCTACAAGGTTAAAACTTGATGAAATCTACTGAATAAGAGCGTGCTCAAATGAAAAGGTTCATCCTCAGATCCTTGCATGGTTCTACTCAGAAAATGACTGCTGCTACTCTTTTGGAAGTTCTTTGTGTGACATGTGACCTTCCTGCGTGTTTTAAGGGTGTGCAGACAAGAACATTTATAAAAACATCAAATTATGAACCTTTTAATCCCAACCAGCTAGCATCAAAAAGAAAATATTTTGTGCAAATAAAAGTTTTTATAATAAAATATTTTTTGTAGCGAAATCAAGTCAGAGTAAGATACAGATCACACCAAAACAACTGTAAACTTGGTTTTTATTAAAGTGTTAAACAAAAACACCTAAATTGTAGAAAAGGAAAATGTTCCTAAAACGTTTTAACTCTTTATTTTTATATTTAGGTATGTTTGTTATATACATATTACATATTTTTACAGTTTATATTAAAGTTGGTAATTTCTACTAAAATATTTCTAAATCTGTTTGGAACAAAGCAATTGTGGGCATGTGCTGTATGAGGGCATCAAAATGGTGAACAGTAAATGGTCTGTTTTTGACTCCTGGAACCCCCCAAGGCGCTTTACATATATGATGTATTGATATAAGGCTGTTGCTGTAATTGGGAAGTGAACTGTGCTGGGCCAAACTAGGAGAATATTAAGATTTTCTGAGGGAAAGAGAAAAACAATTGTCTACCTTTCAGAAGAGGAACTGGCAAAAAACTACATGGAAAATATGTGAAAACGTTTGTTTTTAACCCCAAATTGAACAAGTTTACCTAGATCCTAAAAAGCAGCTCAGATGATGAAAACTGCAACTATGATTCTGATAACAAGCTAACAAATTGAACTAGCTCCTCTAAGATAACCGGCTAGCAGAGCTTCTGACTGAGTTTATGTGCAGCAGCAAATCAACTATCCTGATTAACAAGGTTATAAAAGCTCATAAAGGAAAAAACACTTTGATGTGTAGGGGAACTTTTCCAGGCCCTCTTTAGCGGGGTGGGACTGGGAGGAGAGTGTTGTAGCCTTTTAGCTGGAAGCTAACCGGAGCCTGGGGCTAACATCACCACCCGGTGGAACACTAGCGACATGAAGGTGGGTTGGTTGTTGGTTCACCGGCACGTGTCGGAGTCAGCCCGGTTATTATCAGCTGCTTAACCACAACGAGCGGACTCACATTCACGTTTGAAAGCAGCGCTGATTCCAGAAACATCAGCACAAAGTGCGTTCGTTGCTCTGAGCCAGTATGACGAAGGGAACGGCGCAGCTAACTCAGTTGGGGTGTTGCGTTTCACACATCCTGGGTCTACGTAGGGGGTGGGCGTATTACGTGAGCAGACCCATCTGATTGGCCGCATATCAAGGGCTACATTTGATTGGTCAAATAATACTTTAACGTAAAAAACAGAGCTGGTTTGCAAAAAGCTGATGTATGACACGGATGGAAATGTTTGAACCAAACATTTATCGCCGTTTTTGACGTGCTTTGCGATGGGCCTATCACACGTCCTGTTATCGCGATGACGATCATTTTTCGATATATTGTGCAGCCCTATTCTACTCTAATTTAAATAAAAGTAAAAAGTGCTGTAGGATAAAAAGTTCGATGTCTAAATAATG